GACCGCGCGGCGCATTGTTTGGACTTCACGAGTCTCGAATGAATTCATGACCTGCCACCACCCTCGATTGCGTTTGACGGTTCTCCTAGCTCTCCTCCATCATGGCGCCTACAGCCCATTCCCCCGTCACCTCTCAACTACGCCAGTTAATCTACTACCACCTCGACAATAACCTTCTCAAGAACGCCCTCTTCCTCGCATCCCGCCTCGTCGCCCACGAATCTCGTTCTCCCGAAGCAGCCTACCTCCTCGCCTACTGTCAATTTCAATCGGGATTTCTCAAAGCCGCGTGGGATACCTCTCGTGCTTTTGCCGTCAAAGGGAGCCACCTGGGGTGCGCGTACGTCTTTGCTCAGTCTTCACTCGAACTCGGGCGCTTCCTAGAAGGTCTCACAGCACTCGAGAAATGCAAGCACATCTGGCAGAGCAGAAACTCGTGGGGTCAACACAACGAGTCGAGACGACAACACTTACCTGACGCCGCTGCTGTGTTGTGTCTTAAAGGTAAACTATGGAAGGCACACAAGAACATCGACCAAGCCGTCGAATGCTGGGCCGCTTCCCTCAAGATGAATCCCTTTATGTGGGATGCATTCACAAGCCTGTGCGATGCAGGGGCAAAGATTGCCGTGCCCAACATCTATCGGTTGAATGAAGACTTGATCGCCGCCGTGCATCTGAACCAGCAGCAAAGTGCCAAGGTTGAGAATCCTCCTCCAGCAGAGAAGAATCACGTCTCGTCAGATCCATTTGTCTCGTCTCAGCGACCCGGCCGGCCACAGAACAACGTGCTGTGGGAGAAACTCAACGGGAGCAAAGTGAGCGTCAACACCGTGAGCACGGTTCTGGATGAGGAAGGCATGGCCACTCCTTCAACCGAACCCGAACCCGACCAAGGCGTGCTCCAAGGTGCACCCACCAATCAACAGAACGAACCCCCTGCCGCACCTATGCGGAAGACGAAGACATCGACGGAGTCACAGGCAGATCCACCGCCTAGGTGGAAGGCTGGGTCGACTCGGATGCGGTCAAAGATGAAAGGTGTATCAGACGATGCAACCACGGTCTTGCAAGATCCTCCTCAGCCACCACCAGCGGCGCCTTCTAAGAGAACGGTCTCGGGTCAACCGACCTCGCACGTCGCACCATCCAGTATCGCCGAGGGGACAAGAAGGAGTAATCGGTTGCTCAATACAGCGAGGCCTCCTAGTGCGAGTAGCACGGCAGGAAGCAAGATCTCATCTTTGGCCAACACCCTCGGTCTGCGGGAAGGCCGAGATATCAAGAAAGCAAAAGCTCCAGCCATAAAAGGTCGCATGGCAAATGCCTCGACCGTCGGAAGGGTAGTAAGTGGGAATAGGACGAGGACAGGCTCGGCAGATCAAATGGATGTGGACGCCAAAGAACAGAAGCCGACAACCACCACTGGTGCGCCTCCTCCGCTACCCTCCATACCGAACCCCAAAACTCGAGTGTCCTCCACCGTTGACCAGGAGATTCGAGCCCTCCAAGAACTCCTTGAGCTGTTTGGCAGGGTCGCTTCGGCCCAGCTCAGCCTGACTAATTACGATTGTCAAAATGCCATCCAAATGTACAATGCACTCCCGTCGCCCCACCGCGAAACACCCTACGTCTTGTCCCAAATCGCAAAAGCATACTACGAACAAGCCCAGTACGCCGAGGCCGAGAAATTCTTCATCCGCGTCCGACAGCTGGCTCCTGCCCGCCTCGAAGACATGGAGGTCTATTCCACCGTGCTCTGGCACCTGAAATCCGAGATTGAACTCGCGTACCTTGCGCACGAACTCATCGAAATCGATCGACTGTCACCGCAGGCGTGGTGCGCCATCGGCAACTCGTTCTCTCTCCAACGCGAACACGAACAAGCGTTGAAATGCTTCAAACGATCTACACAGCTCGACTCCTCCTTCGCCTATGGCTTTACCCTCCAAGGGCATGAATACATTGCGAACGAAGAATTTGAAAAGGCACTCGACGCGTATCGCTCGGCCATTGCCGCAGACTCGAGGCACTACAACGCGTGGTACGGCCTGGGCAAGGTCTATGAGAAGATGGGCAAGTGGAACATCGCCGAGCAGCACTACCGTACCGCCGCCAAGATCAACCCAACGAACGCCGTGCTGATCTGCTGCATCGGTCTTGTTCTCGAGAAGCAGAAACACCCCGAAGATGCACTCCTCATGTATAGCCGGGCGTGTTCCCTCGCGCCACAATCCGCGCTCAGCAGATTCAAGAAAGCACGGTGTCTCATGTCGCTTGGACGGCCGAAGGAAGCCCTCGCGGAGCTGAAGATTCTGAGAGATGTGGTCCCTGACGAAGCGAACGTGTGGTTCCTAATGGGCCGGCTGTACAAGATCTTGGGAGAAAAGGGCAACGCGGTGAGGGCGTTTACCATGGCGTTGAATTTGGATCCAAAGGTACGTTTCTCCCTGATCACGAGGACTGTTAATGTTGACGATTATAATCTTGCTAGGCCGCTCAGTTCATCAAAGACGCAATGGAGAGTCTGGACGACGATGACGACGAATTTGACGACGACGAGGATATGGAGTAACGAGGAGGGTTTTGCTTCTGGCCTTTTCCGCTCGGGTCTTTTGATCTTTACATCTCTCCAACCAAGAGAGGCGGGTTCGACGTTCTTGAGAAGAGAAATGTGCGATGTGGTCAAGGAAGGCTGCCTGGCTTTTGTTCATGGGTCTGCTCATGTCGTCTGGTCTTTTGCAACGAAAAGGAAGCAACAAGATTGCTTGCGGGTTATATTCCCGTGTCGTCCGCAGCTCAATCAATGGACGCAAATCATGCTTTCCACCTCTACCAATAGGACTGAACCAGACAGACAGAAAATTGCATCTATTCGTCCGACACGCGTCGGGGATGAAGGAGAACGACATGGGCAAAGTTTTCTTCTCTTCCACGACAAACAGAAGACATGGATGGCAGGGGCAGTGCATTGCGATACAATGCAGCGAGACCTATGTACCATGACGTCGATCGATTAGGTCAAGAGGAATAAAAAGTAGTGTGGCCTACGGAGTCACGTACTTGCGATTCTGAGCGTTTTTTCTTTTCCCCAAAAGGTCTCTGCGTTTCCTGTTGGCTGTTGGCTGTTGGCTTTTGGCTGTTAGCTGTTGGCTGTTGGCTGTTGGCTGTTGGCTGTCTTTCGTGTTGCGACCTGCCTGGCTGGCTGGGCTGGGACGTATTATACCGACTTTTGACTTTTGACTTTTGACTTTGACTTTTGATTTTGATTTTGATTTGTCGAGTCCTTTTCTTTCCTCTTGCTGGGTTCCAAGGTTCCTTGTACGATCGCATAAATGTAGTATAGGATGGCGTGGCGTGGTGTGGTGTATCGTGGCGCGGAGCGAGGCAGGGCAAGGCAAGCGGGAGGCAAGCGACTGCGAAGTTATACGAGTTGTGGGGGGAAATGATAATTACATGATATGCTATGGTATTGTATTGTATAATATAAAACAGCATGGAATTGCATGGTATGCAACAGTGTGGAATGGTAGGGAATGGGCCCTGGGACTGTCCTGGGCTTGGTTTGCATCCATCAGTGCTCTGTACATCCGATGTATATACCTCCAGATAGAGAAGGGGACAGGCATGAAACACGGGGGCAGACACGTAGACAGACACGCAGACAGGCACGCAGACAGACAGACACGCAGACAGACACGCAGACAGGCAGGTACACAGGCACGCAGACAGGCTAATAGGATAATAGGCACCTCGTGTATAGGTCCTGCCTACGGATAAGTCATAGTATCTCATCTTAGTGCAGTCTAGCACAGCGTGCAGAGCAGTGCAGTCCAATCCAGTCCAGTCTAATCTAGTGCTATCCAGTCCAATCCAGTCCGATCCATTCTAATCTAGTAGTGTATAGTAAAGTTAAGTACCTAGTATAGATTATCCGGGAAGTGAATACCCTCATTAACTTCAATACAGAGATTTAGATTCGAGGCTCGAGACTAGAGTCTCTACCGTAACGGGTACTCTATATCTAAGTACTAAGTACTTATCGTCTCGGGACCGACTATATACGTAATGTACCAGGAAGAGATTAACCGGGTTTAGTTAGATAAGGTATTAGTGTGAGGATGAACAATGCAAGATTGAACAGTATGACGATGACCAGCGTGAGGTTGACCAGCGTGAGGTTGACCAGCGTGAGGTTGAACGATGCCGGCACACCGAGCACTCTCTGTATCCATAACTGACGCAGATCGACATAGTGTACCCCAGTAATGTGGCTGATGAAGTCGTGGTTTGGCAAAGCTGGCGTTTCCCTGTACATGTGTACAGAGAAGCAATCGGGCGTTCTGGTTGGTGGAGCTTTTAGTGTAAGGCTACACTTCTTTTAGTTTACCTTTTATTTCCGATGATTCATAGACAGGATAGACAATACACACCACTCAGCTGTAGACATCGCACCATTGCTTTAAGATGTAGTGTAGTTGAGTGTGAGAGAGGCAGTGCCTGCCGCCGCAGAGAGGTATACCCCTTGGCCATGAAGCCTCACCCTAGTTCAAAAGGCGTTCATACATCCTCGTGTAGTATTGTAACCTGGCTGGGACAGCGCAGCCAGCAAGGAGCATACGGAGTACGCGGCTCTAAAACTCTCCTCCTCTCCTCTCGGGTGCCTCTCCGTTCTCTCATGTCATATAAACCGTCAGATTGATTTACAGGCGCACGTGGACTGGGGTTTCAATCCCTCGGCAGCGAACATACAGCATAGTACCCGTAAACTATGGTATCATTGAAAAGCAAACGCCAGCCAGCAAGAAGCGATTCATAACATAGCTCTCCGCCGCGCCCATGACAATACGTCCAGGTATTAGCAGGATCATGATCCATGACCCGATTTTGGGAGTCCCAGATGCCTTCCCAACGCATCAGCATCACTTTCATACCCATGTTCATTGTCGTACAATCTTCTTTCCACCGTTCGTCTTCCGCCGCAGCCAACTTTCCCTCCTTCACAACTCGTCCTTGACGTACTTCGTGGCACTGCTTACGGACTCGCTCACCGCACTCGCCGCACTGGCGACAGTATCGCTTACGGCACTGGCAGCACCAGTAGCGCCTTGACCAACATCACTGTAAAATGCGGCTATCCTGCTCTGCGCGCTCTCGACAGCCTCGGCGATCTGCGAGTTGATACTCTCCGTGTAGCTTTGCTCGGGTCCATAAAAGGCCTGAGAGACCTGTCCTCGCACGGTATCGATAGTATCACTCACCGCCGAGGCAGCGTAGGCAGCGTTTTCCGACGCGATAGAGGAAGCAGAAGCATAAGTATCTGCGGCAACACTACTGAGAGACTCGACCGTCCCAGTTGGCGTGCCATAGACCGCAACGCTCACGGCGTCTTGCGCGCTCTTGGCCAGACCTGCAAACGATGAAGACGCAGCTTCGGCATGGCCGACAGGTGTGCCATAAATCGCCTCGCTCACTGCGCCTGCGACAGAGGAGTAGCTATCTGCCACAGCGGAGGTAGCCTGTTCGACTGTCCCCTTCTGGCTACCATAGACTTGTGCGCTTGCTGCATCCACGGCGGCATTGAGTTGATCAGTCACCGAGTCCAGGATGGAGGACACTTGAGGCGGAGGGGTGAAGTAGGACGAGGCGGCGGACGAGATCGAGGAGGCCACAGACGACGCAGAGCTGTACGCGTCGCCGGCAAGACTAGACGCGGAATCATAGCCAGTATAATACGCAGAGCTGAGGCGGCTCATCACCGACTCGGTAAAATCGGGCTCTTTTCCAACGATCAGCTCCGACACGTACGATTGGATGATAACATATTTGTCGCCCGCGAAGTCAGTGACCTGGGCTGAGTACTCTCCTGCTTTGCTGGCATAATCGTCGTAGAATGGCTGAGGAGTGCCGTAAATCTGTTCGCTGGCTTTGGATACCAGAGCCTCCCAATTCTGGGAAGCGACACTGGAAATAGATTCGACGGACCCAGTTGGAGCACCATAGACGGCAGTGCTTGCTGCATAGCTCGCTGCCGACAATGACGATGATGCTGCGGACAGGGCGGCATCATATTGAGCTGAAATAGAGTCGAGGACACTTTGCGCAGGCGATGTCTCTGTTGCGCCGAGTGCTGACGATGCTGCCTGTAACGCTGCCGAATATTGAGAAGCTGCTGCTGCTGATGCTGCATCGTATTGGGATGACGCTGAGTCTAAAGCGCCCTGGTAGTACGGAGCTGGAGTGCCGTAAACGGCGGTGCTTGCAGCATAGCTGGCTGCTGAGAGAGACGCCGACGCGGCAGACACTGCTGCTTCATATTGCGATGAGATAGAGTCGATTACATCCTGTGCGGCAGATCCTTTGTTCTTGCCGCTTGCCGAAGAAGCCGATTCTAGCAGTGCTGAGTATTGAGAGGCGGCGACCGACGTCGCAGCATCATATTGTGATGATGCAGCGTCAAAAGCACTTTGATAGAATGGTGCAGGGGTGCCGTAGATGGCAGTGCTTGCAGCGTAAGAAGCAGACGACAAGGAAGATGATGCAGCGTCCATGGCGCCGGAGTATGCAGCAACAGCTTCATCCCACAAGCTTTGTGCTGTTGTTCCTGATGATGAGCTGAATGCACTGAGGCTAGCAGCGGCGGCGGAGGAAGCCGCGGAATACTGGGAGGAGGCTGAGTCGATGAGACTTTGATAAGCCGGCACTGGTGTCCCGTAGATCCCAACTGATGCGGCGCTTGACAGGCTGCTCAGGACGGGGGTAGGAGTGCCGTAGATCGCGCTTGAAGCGGCCTGGAGAAAGTCATCATATTGCTCGTGTGCCAGGCCGACAGCAGCATAATAGTTTTTCTTGACATCCTGAAGGTATCTTTCGTGAGCAGGAGCTGGTGTGGCGCCTACGGCGGCCTTGGCTCTGGCATATTGCGCCGAGGCGGCAGCGATCGAGTCTTGCAGTCTTGCGGAGGCCAGGCCGGTAACGGACTCGAATGGGTTTGTCGTAGGAACCGCGCTTGACGCAGCAGTGCGAGCAGAATCAAGCCTGCTGTTCGCAGCATCCACGGCGCCGGAGTATGCGGCCTCGATGGAAGAGAACATCTGCTCATGTATCGGCTTAGGAGTGCCGGAAATCTGTTTGGAAGCCACCGATCTTGCGGCGAGGTAGTTCTCTTGTGCTCGGCTGATGGCATCGCTGTAGAGTGAGCTGGCGTGTTGGAGAACTGAATCACTAACTGGAGTTGGCGTGCCATAGATGACGGAGCTCGCAGCGGCCACGGCTCGGTTGTAGTTGTCGGACGCTGCATTTGTAATGCCTTCTACCGTGCCCGTTGGTGTCCCGTACAAAGCATGGGACGCCGCAGCCAAAGCACTCGAGTACTGTTCGCTTGCGACAGATGACAAGCTCTCCGCCGTGCCTTGGGTGGTTCCGTAGATTGCTTCAGAAACAGCGCGCGTGACGTCTGCGTAGCGGTCACCAGCTGCATTGACAACGTTCTGCAGATTCTCTGAAAACGACGATCCCTCATTGTCGAAGACGTCGTCAAGTATAGGTTTGGACCCTGTCACTTCTGCGGCCATGGCTCCGGCGAAGACCTTCGAGACTCGTGTCGATGCTGAACCAGCAGCTGACGAAGCAGAACTTGCGGCATCGTCGATATCGGAGTCCACTGAAGGTACACCGTTGGACGGAGGGGAAACAGGCGATTCCACAGATGCCGAGGCTGAGCTTGCAGAACTGGCCACGGCATCAGTTAAACTTGAGGCGGTCTCTGACGCGTCCAAAAGAATAGCTTCCGCAGTGCCAGTGCTTGTTCCGACGACAAACGACGAAGCAGATTCGTAGGCGTCTTCAACGGTGCCGCTAACCTCCGAAATCACAGATTCGCCGGGCTGTGACATGGAAGATGCGTAGGCCGACGACGCTGATGAAACGGCATCCATGGCAGCGTCTCTAGCTTTGGACGTGGCGGACTCGACGGTGCCGGTAGTCGTACCGGCTACAACAGACGAAGCAGAGGAGATTGCCTCTGCGGCAGAATCGCTCGCCTGGGACAGCACAGAGCTTGCAGATTGCACACCTGCTGTTGAAGCCCCCCGGAGCTCGGCAACCAAGCTGGAAGCAGCAGAGACAGCCTCGGCAGGCATACTTCGTGTCTCGAAGTCGTCGGAAGCGTCCCGTGCCTTCAGCTTCCATTGAGCGACGCTCTTAAGTCGGGCAAGTTCTTTGGCTGCATCCTCCGTCACCGCCATGCTTTCTTCTGTGATTCGGCGCGCAGTAGCCAGAGCCTCTTCTGCCTCTTCGCTTCTCATGGCGACATCACGCACCTCGGTCTTCCATTCATCGAGCTTCTTCCGCAGCGCGTGGAATTTCTCCCAATGCTTATATGTGACTCCGTCCATCCAAGCCCAGCGCATGCCCACCTCCTGCAGGCCGACATCTTTAACGCCGTCCAGGACTTCAAGGGTGGAGGCAGAGGCTGCAGTGAGTCGCTGGATCAGGCCTCGTTCGAAATTCTGTGACCATTCGCGGACATTCTTAGCACGTGCCTTGATTTCAGCTCCTGCAGTTCTGATAGAGCCCAGGATGTCTTCTGCGGCTTGCTTGACCTCGTCTGCACTTGCATCTTCAGAAAGAGAGGCGATTGTAGACTTGATCTTGGATTTGACGCTGTCCAGTTCGTTCTCCGAGGTCTTCTCCAGAGCTGAAGCCAATCGTCGGCCAACGCCATCAATGTCGCTCTTGACAAGACCGCTGACAATAGATGTCACCCGTTCTCGAAGATCATCACTGCCCTTGTCAGCTGCCACGGCGAACTTTTTCTGCCAGGTGCGCAGGTCTTCGGCGATTTGTTCCTCTGTGGCACTGACTACCGGTGGCCTGACACGCTCCTTGACGGTAGGCTGAGATTCTTGAGTAGATGCAGCGGTGGCGGGCTCCGGCTCGTCTTCTGAATCAAACATCGCATAGACATCGTCAATTGAAGCCGTGGCTGCTGCGCTTGGAGCCGTGGACGAAGTAAAAGTAGACTGCATTTTATCAACCTCATCCATGGCAGCCTTGACATGTCGGCTTTCTCGATATTTGGCGATTCTTTCGTTGATCATGACCAGTTGGGGCCTGACATTATCAATGTACAAGCCCTTGACCAAAGGCAAGAAAGTACCATCGACGAAGATGACGAGGTCCCCCCAGACATGTCGTAGGAAAGGGTATGCCGTGTTCAACACAAACTCCTGAGATGCATTGTAGGCCTTTCCGACGTGTGGGCGGGCGAATTCGACTGCGGGGAGGAGCTGTTGTTGATAGAGGTGCGAGGCAGAATTGCGACTGGAGGTGTAGTATGGGTGAGCCACCGCAGTCAACTGATCAACATGGGGAGCTAGATTCTTCTCGTAAAGCTTCGCAGCATTTCCTCGTGCCAGATTGACCTGCGGCTTCACCTGCTTTTCCCATTGAGCCTGAGAATATGCCCTTGCTGCGTCAATTTGGGGAGCAGCATATTTGGCATAGTTGACCTGGGCAATCTTGGACGCCGGGCGAACCAGTCGTGTATTAGCCAAATGTGCATAGGGCTCAGCCTTAGCCACGTATGGAGCTGCGTATTCATCGTAGTATGGCTGTACATGCGGTCGAATGTATTCTTTTGTAGACAAGTATGGCCGACAGATGGCCGAAGATGAGTCGGTGAGGGTGGCTGGTGAGGAGGGACATCGAAATAGGATCGTGAATAAAGAGTACCATATGAAAAGCCTGTGTCGTTGTTAGGAATACCGACTGTCAATTGAAGGACGGAACACACCTGGCAGCATTGTTGAAGATCCATGACGTCCAGCTGCGTCGACGCTGGCGAGGACCTGTCCGCCGAACAGGTGGACCGACAGCATGCCCGTTGACATGCCCATTAGCATGGCCATTAGGCCTATCTTTGATGCCCTCAACGGGTCCTCCGTTCTCAGCTACTGCCATGGCAGCGGTGATGACCAGGAGTCCGCCAGTGCCAAGGTGTTTTCTCTGCACGATTGTCGTCGACGTAAATCCAGTGTGCTTCGCCCTCGATCAGAGAACGATGCAAGGCAACAGCGATGAAAACAGTCCCAGCGGACGATGAAGACGGCGAGGATGGTGCCTAGTCGGTAAGGAAGTACCGAAGGAAGGTAGAATGCAAATGTGGAGGTGTCGAGGTGTGGCACAATGGGGAGAGAAGCTCGGTGTACGAGCTATGAAAGTTGCAGCCACTGCGTCACAGCACAAAAAGTCAACTAGCGGAAACCTGCGACACGGCCAGTGACAGCCACAAGACTGTCTGTCCAAGAGGTGGCCTGGTAGTGATAAGCAAGATAACCAGCGACCTTGTGCCCCGAGACTGTCAGATCGGCAATGCCAGCATCTTCGATGGGAAGCGTATCTGGTTTCTTGGTGGCCGCCGCGGTCACCACCAGCCGACACCGTCCAGACACCAGTTGGACAATGATGTCAATGCACACCCACATCTGGCGGCATCCACCACAACCTGGGGGCGTTGAGAGTTGTTGCATGTGGCTTTGCATTTTACCCATCGTGTGTTGTGCTGCGCCGTAGGATGACGAAGTGAGATTGGGCTGAACCCACCTGACTCACTCCAGTACGAGTATTGTTCATTCATCCCGCAATGAGGCATACAGGATGCTAAACGTGGTAACTGTACTCCATGCTGAGAGTATCAACCAGATCATGTCGCCACCGGAGAAAGCTCCAGCCTTGGGTAGAACGTCGGCGTTGTCCTGCGGATTCGTTCGAAAGCTCCCAACCTTGTGCAACAGAAAGACACTTGAATGTTCATTGCCTGTCAGGTCAGTATGTAGGCGCCGCGTTAATTCCGTCACCGTGGTCGTCCACTTCAGGCCTGTTCATCTATGATGGTCTATTACCTTCAAGCACATGTTCCACGGCCAGGTTGTGAACCCACTAATCCCTAGGCGCGGGAATGTCGCCTTGCTTCTGCTATGCGTGAAGTTGATAGTCTGGAGGCTAGGGCCGGGTACTCAGCTGCCCCAACCTATACCTCACCTAATAGAGCCAGAAGAAGAGAGGAGTTTGGTGTGCAATCCTGGTCCTTGATCCATTCGCCAACACCACCCCACAAGCGGGAGATTTGAGACACAGATGTAAAAGCGGATGATCTTCTTCTATCGACGAGTCTGCCTGGGATGCACATATATTATCACCAGCCAACGCAACAGATGTTGCGAAGACGGCAGCAGATAAGATAGGCAAGTTCGCAAAGTCCGCTCAAGACTCAAGCCACGCATCTGCTGTGCCGCGTTCTCTAGATCATGGCTGACACATCTACTGACGATGAGTTTCGCGAAAAGCAAAAGCTATAACCTGGATAGACTATGCTGGCCACGATATGCATGGTCAGCGAACCGGTCACCAGATCCCAGAGCTCTCATGCGATATTTTGCTGAAAAGCTGTTCGTGCTGTATGGGAAACCGTGGATTTGCAACCGTCAATGCTATGAGGGCATTCCCGTCACGAACATGTCAAAGACGTTCTGGAGCAAGCGGCCAAAATGTGCGCGATGGCGTCGTTCAATTTCCTGAAATGATCCGGCCTGTCAGTGGATAAAGTGGCAACAGCAGTGACCCGTTGGAAATACAGCGCAGGGACATTCGATCTTCGCATGAGATCTGCAAATTCAAAGGAAAGAACGCGGCCATCTTCACGACCAGCAATTAGGCTTACAGGCTGTTGAGAAACTTTCTAATGTGGCAGGCAGAATGGTAGGAGCTCGAGAGTTGGTGTGGTTGTGAGGGAAGAGGACTCCACCATGGACAGTCATGCCTCACCATGGGGGAATTTACACAACGCACATGCACAGACCAGGCCGATATATTGGCCATCCTGGTCCTCCGATCCCATCCGGGACATTGTTCGACTGTCAACGTCAAAGGTGCATAGTGACCTTCAGCTCCATCTCTGCCGCGAAGAATGCAAGGTATTCTATCAGGAGTCAGCGCCCGTGCGCATATTTCTGATATCTGGACGGCCTTAGTGGCTGGACACAACGCGGAGTCATGCCGGCCTTGAGCGGCTGGGGTCTCGCAGCTGGGATCGAACAGACCTGCTATCCTGTCGCCGGTGCTCAATGCATCTCCACAGGGATACAGACCGACCTTTTGGGACTGCGTGGATGCGTATCCTGCTGCAACAACTGGCTTTGTCCCTTTCTGGAATCCAGATACAGCTCGTAAGTACCCCTTAATCGTGCACAGTCATCGACTTTATTGTGGCCGAGCAGCTGACTCAACACAGACTCCAGAGTCTACAGTGTTCGACGATACTGAGTGAGCGAAGTTTCATACTAAAACAGTAGAAAGAAAGGCCAACTCTGCTGCTCGACTCTTCACGTCATCAAAGAAGCAGTGTCGCCAGCGAACAACTGCGCATTTCGCAATGTCACGACATTTCAGACTCCGTATTTGACTACTGCAGCATTTCGCCCACTTTGACTCTTCGGTGACATCTCACATCGCCGTCTGAGGACCCACGAACAACGCAGTTGGCCGATGGCAGCAGGAGAGACAATGTGGTTCGGTTGTGCCTCGCCCAACAATTCTGATGTCTTCTTTTCTGCTGAAAACGGACACGCAGACAGTCATTCGTATAAGAGGAGGCCGCCAGCTCTGGATCAGGCGTCAGATTTTCCGTCCACACCTGTACCGGGTCAGCACGACCTTCCGTACCGTGCGAGGCTGGAGCCTTGTACGTTGAATGGCAAGGCTGCTTGATGTGAGCCCTATTCCTCTCCTCCTGTGGACGCGGTGAGTTGAACGATCCTTGAAACCCCCTTCTCACAAACATCACTCACTTTATTCGCGACTCTGTGCCATGCATACGCAACCCTTTTGGAACCAAAGTCTCGTCTTCTTCGGATGCTACTCCGAGAGAGTTTGTCACTTCCCGATCTCTGATGCATCCTACGAGAAAGCTCAAGATCCATCACTTGTGTTTTGCTTTCGGCGGATATCACAGGCTTTCCAATCCGTCCTATTTCCACCAGATATTTCAAGCTTCCATCGACCAACTCTCTGATCTGTTTGTCGTTCCTTTTTGCTTCGTTTCGCCTTGAACTCATCGTCAGGGACGCATTATGGACAACAGCCAAGAGCAGGAAACGGGTCGTCAACGCATGCGCGAGCTCTTCCAGCAACGTGACGCCGAACGGGGCAGTCTCAAGCACAAGCAGCCGATCTTCAAGTCTGCCGAACAACAGATGCAACTGCAGAAGCAAAAGCAAAAGCAACTACTGCTGCAGCAGGAAGGCGGCGTAGTCTGGACTCCCAATGCTGTTGCGCGGAAAATTAGACAACCAACCGCGAGCAGAGGACAATATCCTATCTTTGACGAGCACATATGGGACGAAGACCGACGTCCTCAGCGCGCCAATCAGGACCGGTCCGTCAGTCCGAAGACACGTGTCGCCAAAGACGACGATCAAATCCGTGCATGCACTAGCAATGGTAATAGCAGCAGTAACGGTAACAGTAACATGAAGACCACGTCGGGCACCAGACTTCAGGAGCGCCGGAAACATGGCACGGACAAAGACACACCCTACGATACCATCACCTCGAACAGAAAGAAGCCTTCATGACAATATGTTCAATGAAGTCAGCACCGCAAGTGCTAACTCTCCGTCGATCTACGAGTCAATCCTATACTCTTTCACTGTGGCAGATACGCAGCATCGACTAACATTCGCATTTCAGCTCAGGTCAGCAAAGTTTCATGCTTCTGTTTCCGCTCAGGCCTCCAAAGACGTCTACAGTCTACAGTAGTCTGGTCTGGCACGTCCTTCCTGCGTGCATTATACATCTTGCATCGTGCATCTTGCATCCAGTGGAGCTTCACATGGCGTGCAGTACGCACGCACGCAGGCACAAGTCGACACCTTCGTCTCATCTGATCCGACGACCACCCATCCAGGAGAGGTCAGCCTTGTCTCCACCAGCCGATCTTGACCGCGGCGGATTGACAATCGACGCTGATACACGGGGGATGGCAGCTTCAACATGAACTTCGATAGACTGTGCTCCGTTCCGCACACGTTCGCGTGCGTCGACGATCACCAACCTCGCGGACTCCTATTCCTATGCTGCTGCTGGCGCGAGGCTTGTGAACGAGCGGACGACTCGTCCTGTGCTTTGGAAAACAGCCCCGTTTCGACTTCTCACCAGCGCCACTACCACCATCATCAGGGCTATTGAGAGAAACAATTGCGATTCGCCTGCTTTCTGGGGATGTAGTAGCAGGATCATCCATCTCAATCTCACCCACCGTATTGACGAGGAGGAACCAGGAATGGAAAAACCTGGGACAGAGCACGTCGATCCGAAGAAAGCGTTGGGCGAGCGTTGGGCTTGGAAATGCTTGCTGGACATGGGTCTTCCGTACCATGCATGCCATACCATACACACATTACATAACTTGCGCGGCAGTCAGCCCAGAGACCGTCCATAGCCCGATCAATCTAATGCTATTTAATTCAGTGCTAATTGAATACGCGATATGGCTTCTCCATCGCAGCCCCTAAACTGCGCCATGCTGCTTTTCCTGACCGGTACAGAGACAAACTGGAAACTTTCGGCGACGTGGAGCTACTTGTAACGCATGTAGCACATCTCAGAACCTTCCCATGTAATACTTGCGCAGAAAAAGCTCCCCATCTCCCCCTTCGACTCGTCGATTCTACCCGTCTTCTCCCTCGTCCCCATGTTCTCTCTTCACCCCTCTTTTCTCTTCCCCTATTCCCGCCACATCAATCATCTTTAGCAGATCATTGACATAATCTCTCAGCGTCCGACTCACGCTCAACACATGGAATAAACTGTATTTGTGCGCCCCGAATAACCTCTCATTCAGCCTCACGCCATCCTTTTCGAAAGGCTGCCCGTGTTTGTTGGCATAGCGCGCTACGTTGCGCAGGATCATAATGCTCATCCAGGGAATGCCGCAGGGGTGGTTGGTCGCATCCATCGCGGTGTAGTGCCATTCGTGCTTCATGTGGATGGGGTCGGAGTCTTTGATGTCATTTGCCAACTCGTGGATAAGTTTGGACTGCTCGACAGCAGTCTGGGGAATGTGCATGCGCATGTGGGGGCCAATTTCGCTCGTCTTGGTGATAGGTGATCGTCGCCCGCAGTGCGTCCAGCGGCAGATCCAATCCTCAGAACCCTTAGGGTGGAAGCGTCCATCCGGCGTCTTTTCGATCTTCAGATGCTCGGTCATGATGTGCTCCCACAGTCTCTCGCGCTTCGTTTGCCAAACTGGGCAGATATTTCGAGGGTTGACGCGGCCACTGGGATCCTGGACATTGGGCTGAGTCATGTCCCACATGCATCTGAACAGAGGGCGGCCTTGCACGTCAACCGCTACTCTGCGTGGTTTGATGCCCTTAATGATGAACCTTGGCGTAGGTCCATTGATAACTTGCGCCTGAGCGGCTGCGAAGGTGTTTGACACGTTCTTGATGAACTCAGCTGCGGGGATGGGATTGTTCTGTGCAAACTTGCCCTGATATGCTTGCCAGATGGCAATCTGGGTGATGTCGTCGAGCAGCGACTCTTCAAAACAACAGCGTAGCCATCTCGATGAGCGTTCAGGCTCGACAAATTGCATCAGGTGTGCATGCACTTCCGGAGGAACGATCGGGATGCTGGCGGGGGCAGTTTGCGACCTCGGGGTCGGCTGAGACAGCACCTTTTCTTCCTGCTTTATCGATTGGTAGAGTAGCAGGCTAGTAAGTCGAGTGATCAAGTTGGGCAGGAGGTGGAACGCAGTGGATAGGAGTTCTGTGTTGTTTTCTGGAATAGCGGTGTATGCGTAAAGGAAATCGAGGGTGGTTTCCAGAAGTTCGTTGTCGTCAAGGAGAGTCAATGAAAACAGCCGCTCAATGGTTGAGAGCGGCACATCAGTCAAGCGATGTACGTCGGGAGTGTCGAGGGCAATCCTGTTGATGGATCGGAGTGCCGAGATCAACATACTGCGGTCCTCGGACTCCAGGTATGGGAGCAACGAAAGATACAGAGGGTCTCTCGGCTTCAGCGACCAGTATCGAGTGACTTGTTCTGTGATTTCGAGCGCCGATTGTTTGTACTCAGCAATCCTTGGCTGATGTGGTAGTGAGGCGGCAACGGTCAAGAAGTCCTTGAACAAGGGAAATCTGGACATGAAGAGGGCATTCTCTTCCAATATGACCATATTGCGCAGGACCAGGACAGCTTCCTTCATTTTCTCCAACCTCGTCGAGAAGTCGGCCGTCTCGAGCTCCTTCTCAGTGACTTTCGGGGATGCAGTTCGGATGCGCTCGAGTAAATTCGAGGTGCCCAGGGCGGCATTCAGGGTGTTCACAGGCTGACCTTCGTCGTCTTCATCATATGAGATCTCCCACTTGACGCCGTAGATGAGTTGCGTGATCTCCAGCGCCTTTTCGAGCAATGACTCGGCCAGGAAAGGGAAGCCTTCGAATTTGTACTTGTCACCTCGCTCGTACGACACCTTGACCAAGTGATGTAGGGCAAAGTCCTGCTCTTCTTGGACTCCTGACCGCAGCCCATAGAGACACCTGAGATAGATGTTTGGGCCCGTCATCCCGGCTGGTATGGCTTGTCTAAGGAATTGTTGTGGTTCTGGCGGAACTCTGGGCATCGCCATCGCTTTGGCCTGCGCCTTGCGAGGGTAGTAGAGGGGATCATTTCCGGGAGTCTGGACTTGTCGCAGTGTGAGGGCGACGGGCTGTCGTGGCTCGTACTTGTCGAACCAGTCAAACCCTGAGCTGCGAGGGTCGACTGACGCGTTGGTGTAGATGGGTTGCGTAGGCGGTGGCACTGAGGGAGAATCTGTTGCGCGCACGTTACGGGTGCGTGAGGGCCCAGTATCTGGTTGGAATATCTGCGTGCGCTTCGGGTCTTGTCTCAACTGGCCTGATATCATCGCGTCAACGACGCTCATGTCATCCTGGGCGGCGCGAAACTTACGGGTAGGGTATCTGCTTGCACTTCCAGGCTCTTCAGATTCCATCTTCTCCCTCTTCGGTGTCAACTGCTCTTCCTCCTGGGACTCGCCTGCTCCGTCACCCATGGAGCCGTCAATCGTGGGGCGTAGGTTGCCAACCGCGTAATTGTCGAGGGTTCGTTTGCGGAGATCGCCTCCTCTGGCGCTAATGTCTTCAAGGATTTCTTTCGGCGGCGGCTCTTCTCCCCAGTATGTGGCAATCTCGTACGCGCTGATTGAAGAGATAAAAGTGTCAGTGAAGGGTACACGGGCGTCAAGGTGAAGTGAACCGTGGGTGACACGCACGCGAGATTCTTGTAATATACGGTTTTGAGTTGAAATGTCATGACAGCCTCGTGAGTTTTGCCGAACCCAAATTTTGAGACGAGACTCCTCCACTGCATGCGCTCTGCCGACACGGCATCGTAACCACCTCTTTCCATGACCAGTTTGTATAGCTTGTGCAAGGAGATGGGCCGGCCACTAACTTTGGCGTCGCGATCGAAGGTTGTCCTGGACCACAGAATTTACCGTCAGCCCTTGTTGCAAAGACGTCCTCTCCTCTCCTCTCGTGGCTGGTTTCAGCATACCCTCGCTTCTCGTGAAAGGCTGCCACATCATTTATGAACTCCTCCTCATCTTCTATGATCTTCCGGGGTGGCTCTGCCATTCTATTCCCTCCGTGGTGTTACACCCGTTCGAACGATTACCGAGCGGTGCCAGTACGGTCGATGGGACGCATTCCAGGCCAGACACTTCGCAGCGGTCGTAAGTAGGAGGATGCAACTCGGCAACAGCGATGAGGAGGACGGGTCTGGAGGGGACGGTGTACACACTCTTCAGGTGTTCGCAGGCACAACCGTCAAACGCAGTTTCTTTGCCCTTGCAGCTGACGGCGGGTTGGCTCTTGCTTGCTCGGCTGTTTCCGCGCGGATAAAGTTTTCCGACTGGCCCCTTCCCTCGCTAGCATTCATGCTAAGCTTCTAGGGACTCGACTGCATTTACTTCCTCCTCACCTTTCTCTCACTGCTCCCTCACCATGGATTTTCTGTGCTATTAGCAGCCCCAATGCTTCAAATCCCGTTCAAAAGCTGTCTGTGAGTCAAGCCGGCGTTGTATCTTCGTTTGTACAACTGGCCGCCATGCCTTCTCAAGGATCTCAACCGCTTTCCCAGTCGTCTCCTTTGTGTCTTCCGTTGGTCAAATTTTCCTATGCTACTGTTTCGAATGATAATATTGTTCCCATACCATGGATCCATCTGTCCAGCAAGAATGCTCTATTTGCCGTTTTCGAAACCAGCCCCGTTCATCTCGAGGATGGCCGTACGGAGGACAGACAGAAGTTCAAGGTCTTGAAGGATCCAGAAGTCATGGTACTCGAGCTGCGGAAAGACTGTCCTTTCTTTTCGTTCACTACTTATCGAGCTACAGGAAGAACTCGATCTCAACGCTCTTTCGGTCGAAGCCCACGGTGTTCTGGCTCAAGCCCCGGCTGTCTCGTCTGCTAATATTCCTATCGTCGCTGTTATTGTCAAAGTCCCAATGATTGCTATCAAATATCCTCTGGACAATGGACAGGTGACAGTGACTCCTACTGAAGCCTTCCTTGCTCACCATCATTCAGATCCGACGTTTCCAGATCCGCTTCAGCAAGAACGAAGACTATTACGAAGCCATGAAAATGCTGGCGCGCGCCAATGTCCCTACTGTCGAAGCCGGCACCTTTCCCAGCGTCAAATATCAGCCAGCTCCAAAACCGCCTTCCGTTAGTCTCATCGCACCTGACGAATCGGCATCTCAGGTAGATGGAGACAATGGTGGGCCCAGAACATACGGTATCAATGACGGCGCGTCCTCGATCTCAGGCTCTCGACTAGCTCCAGGGGGCCCATCCGCGATGGCACCTCCCCAGACGTTCTCAGCATTCACAAACCGTGGAGAACATCGGGTAATGGCACAACCGCCAGCTATCAGCACGATGCAGACAGGTCTCCCAACAGAACCCCAGCCAGGTTATCGGATTCCAAACATTTCATTGAGTACAGCCACAACTCTCGTCCCTGGCAAGCAAGATTCCAGATCTTACCCTGTGCAGCCTCGTATCCGAAATCCGGAAGGCGACTTGTATCAAAGAGAAAGCATTCCTGTGGCTGAAAGGCAACATGGGGATATCGTAGCGGCGCATCTTTCCCACATTCCGATACCCTCTCGGGAAGTGATTCATGCTCTCGCCCCCAGTAGGCAGGAAAACCCGGTTCGGCCAATCGGACAAGGGGCATCAGATCATCCTCATTCGTTGCATGCGACCAGAAGAACCACGTCGAGATCCCAGCATGGCCAGAAGGACGTACAGTTACACGAGGCCGGCCCAGGCAAGCCAGAGCCTCCCACGAAGACGACCGAAAAGGCTAAGCGGAAGAGAGGTGCTGCCAGCAACACGAAGAAGGCACCAGCAGCCAAAAAGCCAAGAGCAGCTGCTGTTCCTGCGAGGAAGGGGAAGCCGGCTCCAAAGAAGTCACCGGTACCGACTGTTGAAGAATTGCTTCAACGGCCGGGATACAGCCTGCTTCCTTATGAGTCCGCTGGTCAGGCTCCAACCTTGCCTCGTGCGCAACAGTCCGTCCGCCAGCAAGAAGGATTCAGCCAAACGGAAAGACCGAGTGCAGAAATACCAGAATCAGAGCACGAAGCCCACAATCGCGACGCCGTGAGCCCAGAGCTGGGCCAAGCCGTGAGCAGCTGCATAACCCGATCTGTTTCACGGGCTCTTGCCGCCCCTCGACCAAATGTCTTAACCAAACAAGGGCCGACAGATGTTGCCGCCTTCGAAGGTGCACCGCCACCATGTACGCCCGCAGATCAGATCATGTGGTACGCTGCTACCCCTGCGTCACCAACCGCGCAAGCACACTCCACTCCTCTCGAAGCGTGGGAATCACGTCGAGGACCAAGCCCTAGCCAGGACCTGCCACCAGCCACTGTGCCTGCTACGCTGAGCGACCCGTTACTGCCCATGGCACAACAATGCATGGTCCACGATGAGAATTTCGACCTCCTGAATGCAGACTCTCGGCTCGAAGCGTGGAACAACCTTGCACCTCCGACACGAATAACCGCGTTGAGGAGTTACTTTTGTGGATTAATCCTGAAGGAAGAGTTTGTGGATTTGGTGAAGAGTATAAGTTCATTGTGGGAGGGAGCGATTTTGGAAGGCCGTGTGACAAGGGATCTCATGACAACCGCGAGGGAGACTGCAATGGACGACGCCGCAGGACAGCTGTAATCAAATACGTCTAACTCCAGGGAAGCGGCAAAGTGAAATCAGGCCACCTGTTTTGAAGCATTCAGAGCATATCCTATCATCAAGCCAATCTGCATTGTGCTGTATTCGCAATTTGGGAAAGAGGTTCAGTTATAGACATTAGCAGCAATTATCATGAACAACCGAGTCCAACTTCTTCGAGCTTGAAGTCTCCACATTTTTCTCAGTCTGTCACAGTCTGCTACCTCGGGTCCATGTAACCCACTCACAGACTGACAGATAGAATCCCTCGCAGCGAGCAAGGAAGGTGGTAACTGTACGAGGTACGAGCGGCATATCGACCGAACGGATGTCCTTCCTCCGCACTTGTTCAATACTTGTTCGGAGCTCTACAGAGGGACCGGGGGACGCCGCGTAGGGACCCCATCGATGCACACTGTCAAAGACACACTGTCGAGTTGTGGTGCCGAGTCCCGCACAACTGGCACCCAAATGGACCAAGAGAGATAGATATATGGTGGCTCGACTAGAGCTACTTACTGCACGTGGTGGGGTGGCGACGCGATTGACGCGGTTGCGCAAAGAGATGAGGAAAGAGATCCGAGATCCGCAAGGAAGTAGATCTCGCGTGGTCGCGTGGATAGTACGGCGAAAGATACGGAGTATGCCATGGATGTCTCTGGCCGTGGATGTCTCTGGTTCAAGGTGGTGGCTTGCTTGTCACTTGGAGTCAGGCAAAAGTTGAGAGAAGAGGAAGAAGTTTGGGATCTGAACATGGTGACCCGACTTGTCTCAATTCGAATCGCTTGAATGCTCACTAGTCTCTCTGTATAGTGGAAAGAACTTTGGTGAGTCACCTAGCTCCATGCTCGCTCATGCCTGATTGATTCTCACGTGCAACGCCAGATGCTAAAGAGGTATGCACAGGAGATGAAGGATAACCGCTCACGCATACATGCCATCGTGGCTAAGCCACCCCTGATCCCCTTCCTATGTCCCGTCCTCTGATCTAAATGCCCTTTTGACACGTAGCCTCCAAGGATGACCACCGCAAACCCATAGACGCGGCAGGAATATTGTAGCAGAAAGAAGACAGCTTCCAGGAAATGCCTCTTGGAAGTGGACATCAAAAAGCGAGAGCTTGCTGAAACGAGAGATCAACAACGGAGAAAAAGGTTCGCGTGGTTTTCTCGGAATTGGTGTGCATTTGTTTCGGACTGTTCTTGCATTGACGGTCCTCGCGATGGGACTTTTATTCCCTTTGCATTCGAGGACCAGACAAAGGTCCGCAGATAAAAAGAAAACGGTCGGTATGTGTGTGACCAATACATGTGGTGGTCTCACGATCTTCCAAGCTCGAATGCCAAAGATCGGTTTCAACAGTAGAAAGTCCCTCCAACGCTGCCACCAAAGCAATGCCCGATTGTTGGTATAGCTCAATGATGGATGCACAAGAAGCAGCAATTCCAGGACGTAGCTCGAAAAAGCCCAAGACCGCTTCGCTATCATAACGCCCCAAATGATCCATAAAGATGGGCGAAAGACCGCTCCGGACGCCAGGCTAAAACGCATTGATGCTGGGAAAGATAAGACAAGGGGCCGAAGTCGCTAATAGGACAGCATTCGGTGGTTGCGGCGGAGGGCGTCGAGACCAGATCTCGCTCCAGCAACAGGGGTATATTCCAGGCCCATGTCCAGATCCATGTCGCTATCCAAGGTTCTTCGACCCATGGCGGTAGGGCTTGAATCGAGAGGTGAGTGTTGGCCGAAGGCGAATGTCTGAGCCCGAACAAGCTTGGATCTTTGTTTCACCTTCCCGAGACCTCGTTCGCAGTCGAGAGCATGCTCCTTCGCGTGCATCTCGACATAATTTTGAGGATAGCACCTCATCCGGTAGTCTTTGAAAAAGTTGCTATAGCCGCCGTCTAGAATGTAGGCTTCTGGGTATGTCAATGCTGGGTAGCAATCCGCATTGACGGCGCGGTCTTTGTTGCGTATGTACTTGGCCATGAGAGGCGCGCGGTGAGCAGAATATTCACAGTGAAAGATGAGCAACGCCTTCGGAGTCGGCTCGATCTCGAAGAGTTGAGCTGCAAGCTTCTCCTTGTCGTTGAAGTTCACGGCACCTTCGATGTGGCCGCCATCATACTCGTATTCGAATCTGCAGTCAATAACGACGCGCTTCTCATACAGATGATCGAATTCCCCGTCTAGCACCGAGACCATCGTCTCCTTCGATATCCGAGGAAGGCAGCCCGTTTCACCTTCCAGGTTGAAGTGGGGCAATTGAGGAACATGTGGCGCTTCGACGTCCATAATAGAAGGTAATAATGGAGGAGGCGGGCTAAGCCGGTCCTTCTCTTGCCTCATCACATCTTCGGGATGCTCAAACATGCTCAAAGACCGTCGGAACTGCTTGCGAGGTCTCACGAGAGGGTTAGACGACTTCCTCATGTGGTTGGAGACGGGGGAGCCATTGCGGGACGAATGGCCACTGGCAGCCAGGCTTGGGCGAGAGCGTGGAGGAGCAAATACAGGAGCAGATAGTCGTGCAGCAATTTTGTCCTGGACAGGAGAGCTTTCGAAGATCTCCGAGAGTGAGAGAGAAGATGAAGTCGCAGGCTTGCTTGAGAAGTTGCCATTGCCAAAGCGGAAGGGCGGTAGCTGGCTTTCGAGGGCAGGCCGCTGCGGTATGGTGCTGGTACTAAAGCCCTTAGCTTTGGCTAATGAAGGCCGTAGAAATCCTTGTTTCCGTCTCTCTTGAGGAAGGTTCAGCTGCGGAAATGCGCTAGGAGAATCAGTCGGAGCCGGGGAGGGTATTGACATCGTCTCCGTCGGAGTCGGCTCTGGTGTAGGTGACTGCAACTGGATTGACACTGTGCAGAAAGGCATTTTGTGTGGCAGGGGAGATACGTCCAGGTCCATGTCCATGCAATCATTCGCCCCAGGGGAGGAGGACGGTATCGGGGGTGTCGTCAGGTTTCCTTTGCAATCATTAACCGAGAGAGCCCGTCTTGCCAATCAACAACCACTCACTGTGACCTTCCTGTGCAAACAGACCATTGGGAAAGAGGGATCTTCGAGGCGTAGGTAGTTGCGGACTAGACACAGGTTAGCATTGGACAAGACATATCATTGCGCCAATGTGCATGCAAACCTCTGATCTATGTGGAAGTTCTGTGAAAGGTCCGCAGCCAGGCTGGCCGTGGGGGACGACCCTCGAACAGGCTTGAGGCTGAAATAATCTGGTTGTGACTTCTTCATTGACAGGTCTCGGAAGTTGAAGCTGTTCGTGCCAAAGGATTTGGCAGCCGCGAACGAAGCATATGATGGAGGAGCATCTGCTCGGAAGCCACCGCAATGGCCCATGAATACTGGAGGCTGCATGGCCGCCAATGGTGATGAAGCTTCAATCATGTTGTGCTAACGGAGAGATAGATCTTCAGCTGCCTTTGCTATTCTTCGTCTCTTTTCATTACCGCTCGGGAACGGCACCAAAGGCGGTCGAATTCGTCGGGATCCCGTCCGAACAGTCGGTTGCACAACGTCGAATGCCGAAACCTGGTGGGGGTGACAAGGAATTCAGACCGGAACTGAATCGACAGTGACCCTTCTGGAGCTCGATATCAGGCTCTTCTAAACAGCCATCGTGTGGGATGTCGGACTGCAGGGAACGGCTGGCGGAGGACGTGTATGAAGTCGGCTTCTCATATGCCAGTCACGGCGGAGGCGGTGGTGACTGTCAATGGACACCGAGCAATAAGCTTCTGCTTCTCTCACTGACAGGAGACAGCTGGGCTGAGGAGAAGCTTCGACCTGGAGCTCGGTGGCCTGAAGAAGGAGGGGAAGGAAGAGTTTTAAGACTGGTGCGTGGTAGGCGCTGTTGTTGCTGGGCAGCATTGACGTTGGAGAAGTGGGAGATGCAGCCCACTGGAGCCCGCTGGCGTTGCACGCTGCAAGGCACAGACTTGCAGCGTCCCAAGAGCCCCAGAAAGGACCTAGAGACCGCTATTGCGGGCCCGCCTGTGAATCCAGAAGACTGGTTGGCAGAGAACAACCGCTCAGCTGTGGCGGCACTGGCACTGGCATTGGCACTGACAGCCGCTGGGGCGTCGGCTGATCTGTTCTACGGCTACTGCATCTATGTATCTATGCCCTGGATTTATTCCAGGATGATTGTTACCGTTCGAGACGCGCATGTCACACAGACCACAGCGAAGAATCATAAGAGGACGCTCAGTGCAGTCCCAGGGCAAGTCCAGAGCCAGCCCGCATTGCCCGGAAGCCCGGAAGCTCGGACGGCGATGCCCATTCCTCGACTTTAGGGTTGCTTAAGCTCTAAGCTTCAGAACCCACCGCCAGGCCTGCCACTGAAAGGGCCGCCGTGCCTGATCGAGCCTCGCAACAATCCGACCCAAGGATGCCGGGTGAATAGAGTTCGACCTTATACGAACTGCTCCGCTCGCTGGCCGCCGTAGCTTCAACTGCAAGTTTGTTCCAGGTTTCGCGTCTTGAAGCAGCCACTCAGGCCGTCGATCCTGTGCTTTTGCGATATTGCCGTGTTCCGCTTTGATGTCATAATCGTGCCTCCATCCTCTCGTCGGCTGATCAAGGCCCGAGTCACTCGGACGGTGTATAGGATCTCGATGCAAATCTGTGGCCTTGTTTTGTCCTCGCTTTTCTCTGGCGCTTCGAGAACCTCCAGCAGCCACTGTCACTTCTGTCAATTTTAACCCGGATCGGAACAGTTCTCCATCTCAGCGCGAAACCTCTTCTCTGCGAGCTAGCCCTCAATTAGGAAGGCTAAAGAGACTTGAGCGCATCCTGCAAGCCTCGCGCCGCATGACGCGAGGTTGCCCTGTGCAATAACCGACTGCACCGGCCTATCACAAGTTGCACCTTCCAGTCTTGCGTGTCAAAGGAAGCTGTGCTTGGTGCTCTGGTTCTGTTGCTGATGTCATCTGGGCCTACCTTGCGATGAAAACCTCGACGAGCCGTAATTCTGCTTTGACCAGATGGGCGCGTGCGGAAATCACGATGCCATATTTACTGCCATGTTTTCGGGTCAAAGAATGGTCTGCCCCACGAGAAAGCACGGAGCAACCCGAGAAAGAAGCGAAGGCCCAGATGCCGCTGTGGCATTATTCGTAAACCTCAGGTCACCGAGGCCGCTGACATGCATGTGATTGGATTCGCACACATATCTCCCTGGAGGGAAGGTCCCAAACAAGAGAATACGTACCTCGTACAGGTGGTCTTGAGATTTCACGTGGTGCAAACAGAAGGACATGGCCTTCAGCTCAGCTCGACATTGGATTGCGCCATCATCAATTCTTATCAACCGGTGATCAAGGCCCCCCATGCCTTATCCGATAGAGCATGGCTTCAGTCCTTAGTTGCTTCATCCTCTCGCTTGTGGCTGTTGCCCACGGGGACACCGTGCGAATGAGGCCGAGAGCTCTCTTCCCTCAACGCTCACGAAATCACTTCAGTGTCTGATACGGAATCCTCGAGGCGTGACTTGTTATTGTTCAGTACGCCCTACCTCGCCTCACCTCGGACTGTCTCCCGTGGACACAAGCACAGGAAGCAAAGCACATGCTGTCAATGGTCCCGCTAGAATTGTGCGGCAGCTTGTTTCACACTAGTCATGGTTGCTCTCGGTTGCGGCGTCCAACTACCGATCCCCCACAAATGGCCGCCCACCAACATTGGCAGTTCAAGCAAGAAGATGAACCATTGTGACCATCTGGACGACACCAACATCAACCAACTTGCCGGACTACGGTCACCATACGTCACTCGTTGATGTTGAGTCTCTTGTTTCCTTGATTTCTATATCGACATCCGGCTATCGAGGCCTCTTTCTTCCGTTCGGAATCGAGATCGAGGCGCAGTCAACCAAAGTAGATAGCGCAACTTTCGTGCCATGGTGATGCAGCCATCTGTTCCTGTACGCTGACAGCGGGGCAGCAGGAACAGTCCTTGCTTGAACCGTCTACGTACTGTGGTTCTCGTAGTTCACGGCCTTTCCCCGCTCAGTGCGACACAGCTGAGTCCGGGGAATTTGCTGGTGAGACTTAATGTGCAAGGTCTGTAGCAAAGTCGACGTGGCTGTTCGACACGGCTTGTACTGCCCGACCACAAGCAAACTTTCATCTAGTCGTCACGGGTCAAAGTCTCCGTCGATTGTCTCAGCAGCGTCATTGTCAGCTGAGCAGATTTCAACACTCGAATTGATGCCTCAAGGTTTTGACTCAGTTTGAATCTTTGTCAATGGTGTTGAACCTTGACCGGAGGAGACGTGTCTGCCAAGAATGAATGTCAACAATGACGCGTCGGAGGCGCCAACTCACGTGATGAGATCGGCCTTTTTCTTTGAACCAATAGTGGAGTGGATCTGCCCCGGTCATGGAATATTAATCTTCCGTTCCGGGATTCTTGCTGGTATGGACATCCGAACTCGCACAATGTCAGACATTCCACCGCTGACATTTTGAGCTCCAACTCGGGATGGTTGGACTCTCCATCAAGCCTCTGTGGAATGGATACTTGGGACGTGCTTGACCCGCTTGGCATCTGGAACGTGCAATCGACGTCAAGACAAGGTTTGCAAGATCTTCTTGCAAAGTCATTATTGGCAAGCGAGGCAACGCACGATGGAATGTTACCTTTGCGAGTACGATCTTAATTTCCCAGCCAACTTTATTCCAAGCTCATTGCCGCCGATCGACATTATTGATGAGGGAGCCAGGCAGGATTTTGCAGGCCGGCCTGGCCTGATATACGTCATTGCATGTCTGAAATATCTACAGTAGGTACGGATGTTGCCTGTGGACGAGTAGCATGTGTATGCTGACCTTCGAGTAAGTCACAAAACGCCGCCTCGGTGGCTTCAGGTGGCTTTCGTAGAGAGCTTTGAGTACCTACAGATTCAATCCTTCTCGTGCACTCATATCGTCTATGTCTACAGCCACGCTATGTCTCGCCTGGTTTTCTTTACCACAGTTTGACGTTGAAGTCAAGCCGCCGGAAGGTCACTTACGTTCTTTCCCTTCTATGCGTGTCGTCCCCCGTGGGTTATGCATTCCGCACGTCGTATGTCGCATTCGCACATCTTCCACCACCCGCTGTGTAGCTCGACAGCTCAACGGCCCTCGCAGCACGACACGGCTGCCGAGTCCGTACCTTTCCCTACCCTCAGAAATACCCCTCAAACAGCCACCTCAACTTCTCGAGCGCCTCCTCGCTCCGTCCCGCGGGATACGTACTCACGCCATACTTCCTGCCACCAGCGAGATGCTTCGCCTCCACCAGGTCGAGATGTTCCTCCTTGGAAAGCTCGTCGAGCACGGCGGCGATGAAGCGCCGGGCGTTGACGGCGTTGGCGCGCATGTGCCCCATGACCATCTCGACCGAGACGTCTTCGTTTGCATCATGCCAGCACTGTGATCACGAAGTCAGGAAGCAGGTACGTAGGTGAGTCAATGATTAGATCGGTAGGTGGATGTTTGAAAGAGCAGAGCAGGTGTATGCGTGGACGTGGGAAAGAGCAGAGCAGGTTGTATGTGTGAACGTGCTGGGTATTAGGCAGAAAGGGCGAAACAGGAAGCAGGGAAGGGACAACGTGAGGAATACGTACATCGTAATCCGTGCTCATCAGGATGACCTGGTACGCGATCTCGGCCTCGGCGGCAAGCTTGGCCTCGGGCAATGTCGACATGTTGATGACGGTGCCGCCCCAGCTGCGGTATAGATTCGACTCGGCCCGCGTGCTGAATTGTGGTCCCTCTGCTCGGTGATCAGGTTAGTCAAGGACAGCGTAGAGCAGCATAGCATAGCATAGCATAGCATAGCATAGCATAGCATAGCAGGGTATATCAAAGGGAGCGGAGCAAAGCATCGCAAGGTAATGCAAACTCTGCAGTCAACACATGACTCGGTTTTTTTCCGCATTCCACTCATTCTTGCAAGCAAGGACGGCTGCTCCGATAAGTCGCCACGGGGCAAGAATCAACACCAGGCGTGAATCTGGCGCAGGCTCTCCAGCGAGACAACTCTACCCTCGATCATCCAGGCATCCCGCTATAGTGGGACTGGGTTCTTGACTCGGAGGGACAGGGACCTCGACCATCACGATCGTGCACCACATTGCCACTCCGCTCCGCTTCAGGGACTTTTGGGGGAAAAAAAGGAATCGGTTGCTGAAGTCACACCACGGCGGACAACGCAAAACCAGAAATCGACAGAGACTAATTCGCCCACCAACGTTCGCTCATTCGCTCATTCACTGGTTCAACTCACCCATGACGATCACAGTCCCCTTATCATGCAGCACCACGCCCTCGCCCTCCAAGCTATGCCCACACCGCCTGACGACATCGCCGACGCGTTTATCGAATGGATCGGCAAACGGCACATGACACACGACGCCGCCCTCGAAGAAGGTCCACGGCCGCACGCCCTTGGTCCGATCGATGACCTGGTCCGGCACGACAAAGTCGCGCGGCTTGACCTCCTCGGCCAACGACCCGGCGGCGCTGAAGGCAATGATGCACCGCACGCCGATGTGGCGGAGGGCAGCGATGTTAGCCCGCGAAGGGACCTCGTGCGGCGCGAGGGCATGGTGGGGCCCGTGGCGCGCCAGGAAAGCAATTGGGATCGGTCGTCCCGTCGAGGGCGAGGGGTGTTCGAGGATGGTGATGGCGGAAGAGGGCGTGCCGTAGGGAGTTGTGACGTTGAGGACCGCGGCTTTGTGGAAGTCCGCGAGGTGTTCGAGGCCGGTGCCGCCTATGACGCCGATGTGGACCGTGGCTGAGGTGGAGCGATGTTAGCGGTGGTGATATTGCAAGGTGAGCTGATTTCGATTCGAACGAAGAGGATGGTGTAAGGAAGAAGGCTGAGCAGGGGGAGCTAGAAGGAAGAGGGGGGCCCTTGTTGAGGGGTGACGCCATGTAAAGGGATCAAAGTGGTGAGCGAGTACTGCAATGAAGGAGAATCCAAACCTGGATATGTGTCGGGGATGTCTTCCTCCTGGATCTTGACCTCCGCCATCTCTGCGACGACGATGACTCTGAAAGGGAAGGACTATGTTAGAAATGTTCACCTTCGGCAGATCTTCATTGCTACGAGCGATAAAGAGTGAGTAGGAAATGAAGACGCACAATGAACTGGATAATTTGGAACTTTACTCTTCGGATCGCGCCGGTCAGCAAGTGATACTTTCTTCACAAGAGCCTGAGATTCTAGTATTATCTAGGTAGCCTCAATATCCGTCATTCTCAGTCACCTTCCGCTATGCTAACAAAATTTTCCCCAACTTGGGATGTCGACCTTTGAGATGATTATCACTCCAATGTCTCCATCTCGGAACAAAATTGGACCGAGGTCGAGGAGAGAATTGCGCCATCACTTCTTCTACGAACACAGCGAAACATTACCTACCGTGGTACGGAGTACTCTATAAAGTATCAGGCAACGTAAACGAAAGTTCATTCCCGGCAGATTATAGACACGATTTGCTCAGATACATTTCCTGCAATGTCCGAATCGCCAACCTTACTCAAGCTGGGAGTCAGTATAGATTACTCCCCCAGGGATAAGAACAGCATACATCGCGGTCAGGCATGCCAGCGAAGCATGCCCATCAATTTGCTGCCCATAATATGCGTTCTTCCAGTGCAAAGTTTGGGCTGTCCGAAACCACCGACGCCGACCTTTGCAGCTGCGCCTGGGGTCTTGACACCGGCACGACCATGGCCTCGGTGACTGTGTAGGGTTTGCGAATGGGTTCTTTCGCCGGTTCTGTGAAGTCAATGTCGAACTCATCTCGGTTACATTCCACCCTTTTGTTGGTGAAGATGACCGGTCCTTCGAGACGTGTCTCACCAAGCTCGACCCCTCGATGGCTGGCCAGGTGAGACAACAACTGATCGTGACCTTCGTACGCTCTAGAATCTCCCAGAAACAAGCACACCAAGCAGCGGTAATTCACTGTTTGCGTGGCATCACTTTGTTGCATATGACACTTTGCGAGGAAAATCCGTCTGTAGCGCATGCCCGAGGGATGGCAAATTACGCTATTGTCCAACTGATAGACGTTCGCGACTTGAACAGCAGGCGCCCAGAAATGGCATTTCTTGTTTGTGCAGTGATATGTCCGAGCTTGAGAACCTGGCGCATGGGAGTGCGCCAGAGCTTCAGAGATCTTGCCGTCCCGTAGCTCTGAGGTCTTCTTGCAGCACCGACCAGACTTCTTAAGAGATGCAACAGTTGACGGGGTTGATATGTCCGACGTCATACTCAATCCAGCAACGGCAGACAACCCACTCATTGAGTGCATTGAGTAGCCCGTGGTATGTCGTCTGACTGGTGCTATCGACGATGAGTTCGTGCTCGATCGGGCGGGTGACGGGGGTGCACCCTCGTGAGTGCTCGTACTTGACCGAGTAGTGATGGAGTTTGTCGACGTCGAAGTACTGCGACGGGATTGCAGCATGGTGTCTGGCTCTGACGCTCTCGCCGGAGGCGCTGGCGGAGAGCCCATGACAGGGGTACTTTCCATCAAGGTGACCGAGCTCTCGCCACTCCTATCCCGCCGGGACAAAAGCCACCTCCCAGCTTTCTGAGCCTTTGTGCTTTCCGTATCAGTTGGCCTTTTCTCAAGCCGAGGGGGAGGACTGCGTTGGGTCTCCATGTTCTCGCTGGTCCGCTCCGGGACCGGTGGCGACTGCCCTTGAGACCTCTTTGCCTGCTCTGGGGGTGAAGTCGGGTTATCCGCCTTCTTCTGTTCAGCGGCCAATCTTCGCAGGAACAGGCCTTGTAAAGTGATAAGGGCATCCTGGCGGGCCTTGTCGCACGAGTTGATGCACATTTCGAAGTCAACAACGCCATCGTCACTCCTAGCTTCCGCTAAACCCGCCAACAGTGCTTTTTGGACATCGATCGTGATCTGCATAAGGGCGAAAAGGGTGGCCGCTACGCGTCATCAGTAGGCCGCTCGAATGCGGAAAGTATTTCCCTTACTGTCGCCAATCTCGAAGTCTTCGCCGAACCGCAACTTGCCTTCTTCAACGGCCTTTTTGACCTCACTTTCGCCCTTCTCAAGGGACTCGAGCAGACGGTCGGTTGGTGGGAGAGCGCCATGAGCTTGACGGCGCGCCTTGATCTGCCGGAAGATCTTGCTACCGGCTTCATACGCTTGGAGGATCCCAGCAACCGCACTGACAACAGCGAGGGGCTCTAAGCCGGACATGTGGCTGGTGGGCAGGACGGTTCGTCGACCCAGAGCGACAAAGAGTATGTGCGAAGCGATAGACACCGTGGGAGGCTTGCGCAAAGCAGACCTGGCGCTGGAGAAGGGAAGGAGGACGTCAGGCTGCGCCCCATTTCGCACCTTGAGGCAGTCCCGAGCTCAACGGCTTCAACTTGTTAGACGGGGCGCTAAGGCACTCGGTCTGGCTCACAAGAGCCGAGATGCATGAGTTCGAGCGCGTGGCTGCTTGCCGAGACATCTTGGAGTCTTGGACTGCATTGCTGCTTGGCAGGTGGGTGGCCAGCAGGGGGGTCGCTGTTGTGAAGGTCGCTTAGGAGTGACTGCCTACGAACCTCCATGGACTAGACGGGAGCAGAGACGGCTGCCATTCCCACAAGCCCGACAAGCCGTGCGGAAAATGATGCCTCGTGGCGGAAGAATGAGATGATTTCAGGTCCACCAGGCGTGGTGGGCGGGGAAAGGAGATGAACACGGAGGGGAGAAGTCAGGTGTGAGGGAGTGGTCACGTGGGAGACTCACCGGCAGATCCTCGGCCAACCCCGAGGACCTCGCACCCCGTCGCCATTCATGGTTTGCGTCTGAAAGTCCGTCTCTTCCTGGCTTCAAGGCTGATGCGAGTCCTTCCGCCTCGACACCCCAAAATTTGGAAGGCAAGAGTCTCTATAGAACCGGGATGTTTGCGGTACCCAACGCGAAAAGGTAAGCTGCGCAGACTGACGGCGAGACAAATATCTGACCTCGCCAAGGGTCAAACGATCACGTCTCTTCCACGAAGATGACGACTCGCACGCCTCACGCGCTTCGTCAAGATCCATATCACCAGGCGAACTGCCAAGTGATATTGCAGAGGTATCGTACGGCTTCGAGTACGATTTCGTGACGCCTACGTTGTCGGACGTGAAGACTTCTCGGCCTCCGGTCGCGCCTCTTCCACTTGATGACGCTGAGAAACCAGAGTATGAATTCCGACTCTTCGCGCCGGGCCCGAGCTCTAGGGCACAGCATCGTCAGGACCAGCCAGGTACAGCTGATGCAAAGGTCAGGCTGTCGGCAACGCCAGAACCTATTGCTCTCGCGGACGTGCTGTCGCTGGATAAAGCGCATTTCGTCCACCCAAACCGCCCAGAGAGTTATTATTTTACCGCAGCACTCCCAGAAGATACCGTCCGGCAGTTAAAGGCCGAATATGCCGCTGTTGCAATGTCTAGCACGGACGTTATTTCCCTGGCAGAGTCAACCCGATGGCCAGGGACGGCACTTCCGTGGCGGGTGGTTCAAGTCGGATTACTCAACAAGCAGTCTAGGTCCAGAGTACAACAGCTGTCAACGCAGGTTGACTCGACGACTAGCCAGCGTAACAGTTCAGTGCAACCGAAAGCCCGGGCCAGGACCAGACCATCCAAGAAACGTCGGATCCTCGTCCGTCGACGGCTCGCTCTGCGGAAGGAACTCGCCAGCCAAGCGAAAGCGACGGAAGAAATGGAGCGAGAGAAACGCACTCGACGAAATCGCGAGAAGAAAGTCAAGAAAAAGGAGAGGGAGAAGAGGAAGAAAAGCGAAGCCGGTGGCGACGAGCAGGGCATGGAGCGGGGGGATCCTTGACGATTCCTCAGACACAAAGGTACATCAATATCAGACGCGGTGGCACGAACGATACCGAGTGCTGATTTAATCTGATCGGTTATTTCGTGGCTCTATTCCACCTCCTCCGTTCACAAGCGAGTGATTCGAGGCTCGGGAACGAAACACAAGCAGTTCGTTATCTCTGCCGTTAGATATTTATCCTCTGCCAGCCTGGACCTTCCGGCGCACATCGCCTTGCTTGGCCTCAGATATTAGGTCCTTACCAGGCCTACATCCAGTCCAAGCCAACTTTCTTTGCCACCTTCTCAGCAATCCGCTCATAGTAGCCAGTGTTAATTTTGACCCCGCTCGCCTCTTCAGCCACAATAGTAGGCATGCCCCTGTCCGCGTCGGCGCAAATCTTCGCATCAAGCGGCACATTGCCCAGGAAATCGACACCCAGTTCCTGTGCTTTTGCCTCTGCACCGCCTAGGCCGTCGTGGCCCTGGTGACCGCTGTATTGCGCAAAGATCTTAGTCTCCTTGTGACAGTGGGGACAGACAAAGACACTCATGTTCTGTACCATGCCCAGGACTTCAATGTCCATCTTGCGGAACATCTCCACGCCCTTGACAGCATCCTTGAGAGCAATATCCTGCGGGGTGGAAACGACCACCGCACCGGCCAATTCGACCTGTTGGCCGATCGTCAATTGTACATCTCCCGTGCCGGGCGGAAGGTCCAGAACCAGCACGTCCAGCCCGGGGGACCAATCCACTTCGTGAAGTAGCTGTTGTAGAGCTTTCATTACCATCAACCCGCGCCATGCTACTGGGGCGGACTCGCGTGGCAAGAGATACCCCATAGACATACTCTTCAAGCCGTAGCTCGTCAACGGGACGAGCATATTCTTCTCCGTGAGCTTCGGTTCGCCCGCATCCGACAGTCCGAGGAGCGTAGGGATGGAAGGACCGAAGATGTCTGTGTCCAATATGCCGGTCCGCAAGCCGTGGCGCGAAAGCGAGAGCGCGAGGTTCACGGCCAGCGTCGACTTGCCCACGCCGCCTTTCGCCGAGGAGACGGCGATGGTGTGGGCGACATTGCGAAGAGGTCGCTTCTGCGGGAGCCCGCGTTGGGCGCGCGGAATGGTCGGTGCAGGGCCTTTGCTTCCTGGCGCAGGCTTGCGAGGGAGACCCTGGTGACACCGGAATCAGCATCGACACAATACTTGAGCCCGTGAACGAGGGAGCGCAGGACGTACTAGTGGGTTCTCATGGCTCAGAGATCTCGCGCAGGTGCTGAACCCCTTGCGCATAATCTTGAGTGTCAATGACAGCCGCGAGCTGAGAGGCCTCGTAGACTGTCAGAGATTCAGGGTGCTTGCGAAGTCGAGATCGACAGCACCCATGAGCATCCTACTAGAAGAGGCTCGACGACGTCAATGCGCCCTTCGGCTCATCATTGTTCCGAAGCCGAAGTCTCGCAGCACCACTTTCATACTCGCCGGCTTCTCACCTGTTCTCTGCTCGTACGGAGTACGGCCACAAATGATAAAGCTGCCTTGTGATCTGAATGGTGCGACCTGACAATGCACAGGTAGGCCCGCGATATCAAGCAGACTGGGCGGGCCAGAGCCAGGTAATAGATACAACCGCAAGCTGTCCTCAGCCACGCCTTTTGACACTCAGCCCGCCGGTGGATTTCGTGTCTTGAGCACAGGAGAGACAAATCTCATGAGCAGCCACCTAGCTCATTACCACGTAGACCCGCGTCCTCGAAGCACAGCGGAAGGTGTGTGACTGCTGGGCATTCTCTATAGCAAGTCACCCTTGGCTGCGTCACCAGGACCGTGGCAACAATATTATGCATTCCCCCCCCCCCCCCCCCAAAAAAAAGCCATCCTTATTCCCACAATGACGACTAGGCTGGTCGGCCTGATAGGCGGCATGTCCTGGCAAACCACCGCGCTCTACTACCAAACCATCAACCAACAGGTCGCCGCTCACCTGGGCGGCATCCACTCTGCCAATTTGCTCCTCCGCTCTTTGGACTACGCCGACATCGCCCGCTTCACGACCACCGGGGACTTCGACGGCATGACCGCGACACTGCTCGCCCACGGCCACGAGCTGAAGCGGGCAGGTGCTCAAGCGATAGCCCTGTGCGCCAACGTTGCGCACAAGGCCGCCGACACGCTGGCCAAGCATGTCGACTTGCCGGTGCTACATATCGTCGACTTTACCGCCAGGGAGGTTGTCAAAGGCGGATATCGAAAGGTCGGGCTGCTCGGCACCAGGGCCGTGATGGAGGACGACTTCTACACCGCGAAACTGAGAGAGAAGTATGGGCTGGAGGTGTCGGTGCCCGGGGTGGATTTCCGGGAACAGGTCGACGGCTTGATCTTCAACGAGCTGAGTAGAGAGACCATTGGTCGCGACGTGAGGAGGTGTTTCCACGACGCTTATGCGAGCTTGGTCCATGATCAGCACGTCGAGTGTGTCGTGCTGGCGTGTACCGAGTTCAGACTCGTCTTTGGAGTCGACGACTTTGCCGTCCCGACGTTCGAGACCACAACACTGCACGCCAAGGGGATTGCGGAATGGGCGCTTCAGGGTCGGACTTAGGGACTCGGAAGGGGGACGACGACGACGATGACGACGACGACGACGACGGCGCTGACCAGGAAAATGATGACGAGAGTCGGTGCTCTGTGTCGGGATACCAGTTTGCGTCTTCTAGTCATTTCGTCCATCAATGCCTGCCGCCGGATTTGTCTCCTCTTAATCATCACAGGTATATTCAGTGGCCCTGCTCGGTGGTACAACACGGGTAGTATCTGCTCCGACCAGACGCCAGACTTGTAGTTCCGTCCCACGAGAACTCCCACTCCCAGTCAGCACGAGTGCTCGGATGTTTTGTACCGTATCCACTCCCATCTCCCCATGCGTGTCCATTCACGGTTGTCGATGCGTGCAGCTTGCAGCCAATACCCATACCCAGGGTTGGGCGACGACTTTAAGCTCTCCTTCCTCCATCCGGAATATCCAGCTTCCTTGCTCGTATGGCCCAGATCACAGCTCAGATCAAACAGCCTTCTTCAGCGCTTGACCATCAGACAAGACTGACGCAAAGCTGCTTCGTAGTATGGCAGGGGGAGTAGCCGGTATATGCGCATGTATGCACGCATTGTTCCACATTGGCAAGAAGCGCAGTGATTCCCTCCGCAAGCCTCTCTCCTTCTGAGGAAAGGCATTGCCCCGCCACAGGAAGACAATCCACCCACCCATACACCATTAGTCCACTTCGAATCAAATGGCAAGGAGAAGCAGCACCGTCGGGAGACAAGCCGCGCCCATCAGGAGTGCTAGCCGATCATTTCGCACGGCGCGTCGAATGAGACGAAACCATGTCTCGTCTTCACTGCATTTGCCATTGCTAATCCAGTAGCCGGGAATTATCCTCGAGCCGCCGCCCACGACTTCCTAGCTGCACGCACCCATGCTGTAGGCACTATCAATATCCGTGGGAATTATTCCCGCCGCAACACCCATCTTGTAGTCCCAGCGCGGATCGTTGAGAGTGCCTGATGTTTTCCAAATCCAGAAGACATGTGCGGATCGTTAGTCTGTTCCTTGGTCATATCAGACACCTCAACGGGGAGACAATAGGGACAGGTATGGTATAAGACAGGGGAAGGATAGCCTGGCGTGGGATGACAGCCTAGCTAAAGACACGTACCCAACCCTGTGCCGTCTTCTCGTACGACATGACCTGCGCGGCCCACCACTTGCGGTAAAAGCCCTTGCTTTCATCCCTGCTGGGGTTCCAATCGTCCGTCCACTCCACGTCCGTCGCGACAGAGAGGGACCATTCGCCCACGAAGACAGGCCAGTTGCCGGACCGGTCGTCGCTGCACGAGAACCGGATGTACGCGTCCTTGTCCTCGGCGACGCCCGCGTACTTGACGTACTGGTGGTCGTCGTACGCCGCGAGATTCAGGTCGTGAGGGTACTCTTTGGGATCGCTGGATCCCCATTTCTGGTCCATCATCATGATCGATAGCTGCGAGTCCGGAGGCACATTCAGGGAAGATTCGGTGGCGCGGATCTTTGACCACGCGGCCGAACAGTACGTCTATCATAATGGAAGCCTGGGTGTTAGCGATCCTGGGTTATCAACGATCGTTACGTAGCGACACCATCACCACCGCCGCCGCCACGCGTGGACCGAAATCTCTCCACTCCGTTCACTCACCTGGCGCATACTGTCCGTGTTCGCTTTCGCGTCGGGATATTTCGCTGTGTCGGGATTGCGCTCCGGCTCGTTGACCAGTTCCAGCGTGCCGACGGTTGAGTACGCTGGGTTGGTGTGGACTTTGTGCGTGATCCATTCGAGCCACTGGTCCGCTCGGTCGTAGTTGTAGGTGCTGTAGAAGCCTGGGTTCGGGTTGAGCTGGCCAGTGAACCCGTCTGTGGCTTGAGCGCCGGGCGCGCCGTGGAGGACGGTGATCACGTATAAGCCCGCGTCCTTGGCCCACCCGATGACTTGGTCAAGATAGTGCTCGCCGCCTTGAGGGAAGTGTTCGCTCTTGTCGACGATGCTCTCGAGGAACCAATAGCCCACGGGGATACGGACGGTGTTCAGGCCGTAGGAGACCATATGCTTGATCGTAGTGTCAGATTAGAGCAGAAGGACAACCAGCCTAGAGCGTGACTCCCGACCTACCGTCAAATCATCTTTCGTGATCCACGAGCCCCCGGCCCAAGCCCCGACGTACACTTCAGCACAGCAATATCCTGCCACTTATTATCAGCCTTCAGCAGCCGTTCCGATGCCGACGGCCACAGATTCTCAGGGATATCCTACCGAAGTGTCCGGCCTGGCAACGCTAGGCGAGGTGGACACCATGAGAGGAGCTAGTGAGTTGTCGGATGAGACAGCGTCTCCGAAGGTGGAAAGGATTGAAGTGTCGCCGAAAAAGGCTGACCAACAGTCTATCGGATGAGTACCGTTTCCCTGAGGCCAGACGAGCGTGACTGAAAAGGACCCTGGCATCGCTATGTTCGGCTATCCAAGGCCTTAGAGGTGGATGGTAGTGTATCGGAGAATGTTGGACTCGGATACCGAAACCGAATGCGTGTCCTTCATTCTACTTTGTTCGACAGAACCAACCTTGAGGGATTGACAGCACTGAGGTTCTTTCTGAGAGCTTGAGTGGCAAGCCGAAATCAGTCAAATGTGATTTTCTTGCCCTGAAAGGAGGCTTGTGCCTGATCCTGCATTTTCCTTCTCTTCGCGGCTTCCCAAGAAGGGTGAATGGGCCCTTGGTCATCTCGGGATTTTTTCTTGTCGGGATTCAATGTCCGATCCCTTCTAGTGGCCGAGCGATCCTCCGTTCGCTTTTGAGGGTCCATCCTCTTCCGGAACCGGTCCTTTTGGGGATCATGTTGACCTACTGCCCCCCTTCTTGCATCCCATCCCGCACTCCTCGCATCTTGCGCCTTCTGTTTCCCGAGATGTTTTGCCTTTTCTCCGTACTTGAGCTCGGCGATTTGCTGGCGTGCACGTTGGCCACGTCGATTCTTGCGCGGTTTTGGCAATGCGGGCCCACGGTGCTGATCTGCATCTCCTTCAGAGTCTGACCCAGAATAATAGCCTCCCATACTGAGAGATGGGAGAAAAGCGGTCGTGCTAGGTTTTTGACGCAGATGTGGCGCAGGAGGCTGCCTTGCACCACCAGGCTCAGAAACCTCGCTTGGAGTCGGCGATAGTGAAAGACTTTCTCTTCCAGCGAACCTTCCACCGTCGTGACTCTGACGCCCTGTTCTTTGTGGTGACAGTGATGGGATAGCAATGCTGTCTTCCTCAGAGTCCTCGCTTGAAGAAGCCAGCCGACCTCCTGCATATCCAAGCACCTCTTCATCCGTTGCATCCGATCCTAAATCCTGTTTCTCCCTGAGATCGGCGTGGTCCTCCATGTCACTGCCTGAGAAGCCATCGAAATCACTATCCAACTTTGGTTCTGCTTTCCCAATGGCTGCTTTGCTGGCCGGGTTTTCTGTTCCTATGGGCTTTGGTGGCACGGCCTGCGGGATACCAAGCACAGCATATATCGACTTCATGATCTCCGGCAGTGCCTGTTTGACGGGGTTTGAGTTGAACAACCTCCCCACCACATTGGCCTCGGCGCCAGGCTTGACATTGTCCAACATAGGTTCCAGTCCGTAGGCTTTGATAAAGATTGGGTGCTCTCTGATGCGTTTTGTTTTGAACAGGTTCTTGAAAAGTCGGGTCTTCGCTGTTTTGTCGAGTTGCAGTTGCTTGAGGACAATGACTTCCTCCCGTAGGCGCAGCAGTGTCTGGGGGGCATCGCTGGCAGTCTTTTGGCGACGGCCAAGTTTCTGTCTCTCGAAACCTCTAGCAAGCTTGAGCGCGTTGTGCAAAGCCTTCACACCCTGGCCTGTCTTGGCCTTCAGTCTGGAGACTTTTAATTTCTCATTGTCGTCCTCGCTATTGAGCGATCCAGCGCTGTCCTCTCGCTTTCTTTTGAGCATGGTGTAGATGAGCGTTGGCTCGCCACAGGCCGGTCTGTACAATGGCTCTCTGAATGAAACAGCTTCAGGATGGTCAATCCACACTCAGGCGCGACAGGGAAGTGAAGTCGGAGTGAAGGTCGAATGAAGGCCTCGGCCAATTTTTGACTTCGCTTAGGTAAACGACTAGGTACTAGGTAGGATTACCAGATGACTAGGCGGTTGCCTTGGGCAAACTCCCTTGCCCAAAATGCCCCGTCAAAATCACGCCTGATTGGGGCTTGGGCTTAGGCCTTAGGAGTCATGCACACGCCCCGAACGGGCAGTGGAGTGCCCGGCCCAACCACTCATAGCTGGGGGTCCTCGTAACCCTGAATCTGACCACCGTCATGGCCAGCCTGCCTTGGCGTACTTGAGGCTGAGACGCGACCAGCTGAGAGAGCTGGACCAACGTCCATCTCGCAAGCCAGGCTGCTATTTAACAGTCTGTATAAAGTACGAAGAGATAACTTCCTCCTTTCTTCAGCCTGATTCTGATCACACCATCAAAGCTTTTGCACCTCAACTTTCTGACGGTATCTACTTAGCACTGCGTGTGTAACCCGCCCTTACTCGTGAACAGCATGGCGCTTAGCGTGCCTAAGGTCCTGCTCATCTTGCTGTCCGTGGCAGGATTCTGGACGCTTTGGGGCTTTCCATATCAGAATGGGCTTCTCAAAATCCTGGGCCATCAAGCGGAACCGGGCGCTGTCATTCCCGGGCCGACCGCAGCGCCCATGAAACAGACCTACACTGGCATCGGTGCGCTCGACAAGCAGTTGACAGTCTTGGTCAGCTTCTTCTACACAGCTATCGATGGGAACCGAGCCGATGTCTCGTTGTCATTTCTCTATCTTGGAGGACAGGTCCTCGCATCCTGGGTCCTGGTCATGATAGAGGGCCTCAGAAACGGCAACCGAGGGAAATTCGTTCTTACTGCGTAAGTGCAGCCTCGCATGGATGTCCAGCTCTTTGTATTGACTTTCTTTAGCACGACCTTGTTCGGCATTGGTGTTGCAATTGTAGGCTATGCCTGCGTTGCGCCCCTTTGGTTCGCATATCATCTGTGGACGTCGTCCACAGTTAGCAATCCAAAGGATTATCAACTCTATGTCGACGCGCCAGTCAAGATCGCCCTCATCCCGATCAGCATCCTGGTTGGGTTCGGACTTCCATCCATCTTGATGTGCCTACCGGCCCCGACCCTCGTTTCATTTGACACCAAGCAAACTTGGACTGGAATTCAGCAGGGTTGGTCAGTCTGGATAGGCTTGACCCAACTCATCCTGACCATTATTGCCCTGAACCTGGACCAACGAGCCTCGATTTTGACCGAAAGCGACAAGAGAACGAAAACCGTCCGCTATCTTCGTCTCGCGTATCCTTTTGCAATCTTGTCATCAGCAGGATCTCATCTGGCAGTGCTAGGCCTGTCATCTCTGGCCTACCTGTTCCCAGTGTTGTTCAGCGCCAAGTACCTTCCGCAGCTACAGCCCGACAGGATCTTCGTAACTGTCGTTCCCCTTGGACAACCTCAGGTCCAGACTTTGGCCGACGGCGCGCTCTGGTTCCTTCAATGGGACATCATCGTCGGCGTCTCTGCCGCCCTTGTGTGGGCTTTGACACTACGCGTTGGGGCGAAACACGAGGAGGCAACAATTATCCAGACTATCGTTGGCGCCGTCAAGATCGCCTTGCTCACAGCGCTGATCGGACCCTGCGGAACGGCCGCCGTCGCCGTTTGGGGTCGTGATGAACTCGTTTTCGGACGCGCAAATGTCGAAACAAAGAAAGGCAAAAGCTTGTAACCAGAGCGCTTCAAGGGTCGAGGTATGGCATGCTTCCCGCCCGTCGGAAGACAATGATTGGTGACACTTTGGCATTCTGGACTGATTCCAGGACCGGGATAAATGGCTCGGTAACGTGGCAAGAGCAGCTTATCGAAATCGATCTTCGGTTGAACAATACGGAGTACCAATGGACGATTGCAGGTTCAATCTTTGCCATATCTACTTCCCTCCTCCCCACTCCTTTTTCCCTCGCAGAAAAGGGCGAAAATCACTTGTTCTATGTTCTTCAGCGATGCGTGGAAGGGCGCTCTCACAAGTTAGTCTTGATTTAAGGTACTTAGCAAAATGTCAGTGCTTGGGTAGAAGGGGCTAGAAGTCATGAAGCATTGAGGCGGACCATTTCCACAAAGACCAAGGCTTTCTTGAAGCATTTTGCTTCGCCAACAAGCTGAATGGACGCATGAGCTGCCATCCCAGTAGTGGCCGCAACTTCGCCATAATGGATATAGCAACTGTGCAACAGTCTCAGACCGCTCTTCTATTCATCAGACTATGTGCCGGCATTTCACAGGCGAGAGTGCATCACCATGATACCGCTACACGCGGCAAGTAAATTTGACAGATCGGCCCGGAGTGTTACTCAAGAGAGTGCTCAGTATCATAAGACCAGATCAAAGTAGCACGAGCAAGAAACGGTCTTGCTTGACTGTAAGCGGTGCACCAAGCATATCTCATCTCCCCAAAGGCTCGAACATGCGGCATCTGCAGCTATATGCGAGCTGTGGCGGTGTTGTGGACTTTTTCGCGGGCTTTCACGGCCTTCAATGTCAGCTGTTTTTGTCTCAGCTTCTATTTAGAACGTGAGTCGGACAAGTTGCTGTAACTCGGCGGCATTCACCTCAGCGGCCGCTGAACGGAAAGTCACACAAGGATACTTGGCTTGTAGCTTTCCAGCGAATGTACCCCGTACGTAGCCGTTCTTTCAGATGCGCAGTGTTTTGTCGTTCCGGGTTTCTGCAGCCGTGTCAGTGTAAGTGAAAGTGAAAGTGAAAGTGAAAGTGAAAGTGAAGCAAGACCGTTTTTCATTGAAATACAACCCGCTTCTGGCCAATTTTTTGCTTCACCCCACCACCACCTGAGCTCAACCACTACAGGACTTGGGTTGGCACCAGTGGACGCCTATCATGAATCTTTTCGCAGGGGCTACGATTGTGGCCCTCGTCGGTTCATGTATCGCGTCGCCTGGCTACCTCAAACTCGACTTGCACAAACGGGCCCCCTCAGCCACCAGGCTTGTCCCAAGCTCTTCGAGCACGTATCAGCTCGTCGAGCAAGCTGGCTTCAATATCGTCAGTCTATCTCCGCACGTGCCTCTGACGGAGCCATAGGTTACCTGCTTGAAAATTTGTCGCTAACTCATCATCCGCCAGACTTACGCCGCTCCAGGTGATACCGATGCTGGTGACTGGGGTTCTGATACCATTACGATCAACGGCTCCTCCCCTATCAACAATCAACAAATCGGAGTGGCGAGTGTGCTTGTCGACCAGCATGGAGTGATGGGAGTTGGATACGACACCAATGAAGCAAAAAACGATGGCCCAACCGGGGTATATCAGTCGGTGATGGACAATCTCGTCAAGTCAGGAATCATCCACCGCAAAGCCTTCAGCCTGTACTTGAACGACCTCGAAGCGAGCACGGGCTCAATCATCCTCGGCGGCATCGACACGACCAAATACTCCGGAGACCTGGTCGCCCTTCCTCTGCAGGCTACTCAGGATGGTTTGGTGAAGGAGTACTATGTGGCTTTGACTGGCGTCTCCTTCACTGACGCCACCGGTGAAACCACTCAATTGTCGCCACAGGGATATTCTCAAGCCACGTTGCTAGATTCGGGCACAACCAACACCTTTTTGACCAACGATATTTTCACCCCTCTGGCTCTCGGATTTGGAGCTGTCCTGGATGCAGAGGGTACCGGCGCCTATCTGATACCGTGCAGCCTCTCAAACGGCAATGGTACCATCGGCTATTTATTTGGTGGGGAGGGGGGCATCACCATACAAGTGCCTCTCGCGAATATAGTTGGCGGGCAGATATACACACCAGATAATTTCGACGATCCGTCAGGTGGTTGCATGTTGGCCATGGAAACCACCAGGGAGAGTAGCGGCTTCAGCATCCTCGGCGACAGCTTCCTCAGAAGTGCTTACGCGGTTTTCGACCTGGAGAACCAAGTCGCGGCTCTGGGCCAAGCAGACGAGAACAAAGCATCGACCAGCAACATTGTGGTGATTCCCACCGGCACTGCGGTCCCCAGTGCCACAGCCACCGCAATGGCCACCGGGACACAGCTGACTGCCATCACGGCCGAGACACAAGTACCCGAAGCTAGCTTTTCGGGATCGAGCTTGATCCTGGCTGGCACGCCGACCTTCAACTTGGGGATCTCTTCATCGACAGCAACAGCTGGTTCGGGTCCATCCTCCTTCGGATACTCCGGCGCAGGGTCATTCCACGGCTGTCCCGACAGCGGCTCTACTGGGTCGGGGTCTGGCAGCAAGTTTCATCGGGCTTTAGCAACCAACTAAAGACTTGTGAGCAGCTTGTACTGAGATACAAAGATGGAAAGTATTCAGAACGACAGGCAATGGATACCCAGTGGAAGGTCTTGTAGAGAATCAGACCCACCTCGTAGCTGTGTACCACACCGCTCTTTCTAGGTCGCTTTTAAAAGGGCCCCGGATCCCATGCAGCTCGCTTTAGTCTCCAGGTGGTTCTGCGCATTGTCTTTTTTGGCATTCCATTTCATGCCGCTCTCCCTGTCTGATTCATCTGGATGACGACGCCACCCAGGCTCTGCTCTGCCGCAGACGACATGTACCCGTCGACAGAGTTTACGGAGGCAGGATGCCTCTCCCACCACACGAAGCCCGTATCAGCACGGGGGGATGTGATTGGCTCCAAGGCGTCCCTCACCATCATCTCAAGTTATCGACAAGCTGCGACGTGACTTACACTTCTACCCCTCCACGAACGACCGCCACCTTCCCAATCTCCCTCACAGTCGATCCGCTCACCAGACAACCAGGATTTCCAGAGGGCAGGCCATCGAGCGTCCGCGACGAAGAATTCGAAGAGCGCACACGATGATTTCCGGTTGAGTCATCTTAGTCCCAGTTCAGTCGGCCTCCTAGTCTCCGCTCGACCCTGCGCCTTTAAACACGCCGTGATCCATCGAGGTTACAGCGAGGCGCGGACGAGGTCATCGGAGACAATAACATACTTCCGGTTTACCACATGAGCTACAATCTCTGGCGCTGCCTGTTCGAAGATGATGTCGATGCGTTTCGACAATACTTGGCTAACGCCACCGTCTCCTCCGCGGCACCGAGAACCACGAGCACCGGACAAGCTGGCGGATTTGGGCTGAAGAGCGGCAGTCCAGGCAATCTGGCAGCCTCCCCCAAGACACCGTTGAGATATCGAAAGAGTTCAGGGCACACCCCAGCGAACGCCACCCTGGGTAAAACCGCTGGCGCAGTGCTCACAAGAGCCGATCTGAACACCAAGGACAGCTTTGGGAGAACCATCCTGCACCACGCTGCGTCATCGCGGTCGGAAGATGCTCTGCAGTTTGTCAAGGTCCTGTTGGAGATGCCTTTTCTGGATCTATCCATTCAGGACTTGGAGAGCGGATGGACGCCACTACACCGAGCGCTATACTTTGGCAATATTTCAGCTGCACACGCGCTCATGGCTCGAGACCTCCAAGATGCCACTGACTACACGACGACTGCCCAGCACTCTCACGCTGGAGGCTTGGTCAAGATCAAGGACCATGAAGGCAATAGCCCCTTCGAAGTTTTTGGCTTGACTATTGCACCGCGTTCCCTCCAGCACGATTCATCCACGCTTCCACCTGTACGCGATGATGACAGCACCAATGGCGTCGACGATAATGGTGACCAGCAGAACGAGGAGCGTTCGAGGCGCCATGTCCATCCCTCAGTTGATCTACTAGGTGACGAAGTCTACGCGTTTGGGAGCAATAAGAACCTTTCTCTGGGTACGGGTGACGGTGACGACAGGCATTATCCTGAGCGTCTTCACTTTGAGAGACCTGATCATCTGCTTCGCCGCCTTCTCCATGACCATCTAGCTGAAAGACAAAAAGGCTGGGTACACGAAGATCTCACGCATAGCACTGGCGCTCTTCATTCTCATAAGGCCTTGCCAGCGGTAATCCGGTATCGGCCTGTCACCATCCAGAACGTCGTCATGTCAAAGCTACATACGGCCGTTTTGACCAACGATCCAGTCTCGAACTTGTATATTTGCGGGTACGGTCCGGGTGGTCGTCTTGGTACTGGCGATGAAAATACCAGTTTCACATACCGTTGTATTCAGGCCGGGGGTCTGGCCAAGCGACGCATCTCGGCAATTGCACTGGGGCAGGATCATTCCATAGCAGTTTGTTCCCAGGGCGAAGTCTTCACATGGGGTAGTAACCGCTACGGTCAGTTGGGTTATACTCTCCCAGAAGCACCCAAGGACGAGGTACCAACTCAGCTGGTTCCGCGTCAGCTCTTCGGCTACATCAAAAAGGAAGTCATCTTGGGGGCGGCAGCATCGGCTTTGCATTCAGCTATCTATACATCCTCGGCCTTGTACACCTTTGGCAAAAACGAAGGCCAATTGGGCCTGATGGACGCCGACGCTCGCTCACTAGAGGTGCAGGTGCTCCCACGCCGTGTTGGAGTATCTATTCTGCAGTCGCCCATCCAGTCAGTAAGCGCAATTGACCGTGCCACGATCGTCCTGCTGGAAAACCATGATGTGATCGTCTTCACGCATTATGGCTGGACGAAGGTGCTGTTTCCCTTGGAGACCTTTTCCAATTACTACATGTCGGACAATCTATCGACGAGGTACAATATGGAAACAAATTACATCAAGCAGATTACCGGCGGAGGCAACACAATTTCCACGATGTCGTCCTTCGGAGAAGTGTACACCATCGAAGTCCCCAGGGTTTCGGAAACAGTGCCGTCCAATGCGTCTACAACTAATCCCACTAAGGCACGCAATGCTTTGCCTGCCCCTTCGCGCCTTTGGTCTCTCGGCAAAGCTCATATGGCGGCGACAGATGTTGCCGTGGGTCAGGACAGTTCAATTATCATCTGTACCGCCTCGGGCTCTGCCTGGCGAAAAGAAAAGCGTGCAAACATCAAGTCAGTCCGCGACACGAAGAAAGGTTCGGGAAGGCCGAAGGATTACAAATTCGTCCGGATTCCGAACCTGACGGGGGTGGTCGCTGTTCGAAGCAATGCTTTTGGTGCCTTCATGGCGGTGCGCAAAGACGCCACTGTGACCCGCGAGCAGATCTTGCCCGACGCACCAAGCCTGTGGAATGATTTGTTCCATCTTTTGCCCTTCCAGGGATACGGGAGTTCGGAGACTACGCCCCCGTCAGGCAATGACCCAGCCCAAATAGCTCGTGCTGTGATCAGTAACGCATCAGCGGAATCCGATTTCCTCGCCATAGGACACCGGCATGAACCCCTATCCCGGAGCCAGTACGACCTCTGGATTGCTTCGACAGTCACGGACGTCCGCATTCCGATCCACTCTTTCGTCCTCAAGGGCAGGAGTAGTGTGATGCGTGGCGCCTTGACTGAATTTCAAGAGACATATTACTTTGCCATTCCCGATGTGCTCTCGATCGAATATGGACAGGACGGCCAGATACAAGTTACGTTCAAGGGCGCGGACTTCCTGACCCTTGCCACCTTCGTCTTCTACTTATACACGGACAACTTGATCGACGTGTGGCACTACACTTCCCAGGCATTGCACCTCGCACCTCGGTACAGGTCCGTCCGGCTTGAGCTCATGAAATTGGCAAGTCACCTCGAAATGAGAGGCCTTGAACGCGCAGTAAGAGTCATGGTCGATCCAGTCCGTGCCCTTGCGAACGATATGGAGCTTGCGGTCCTAGATCCTGACTTCTTCTCTGACGCCGACGTGCTCCTTGAACTCGCTGATGACGCCGAAATGCCTGCGCACAGCGTGCTACTATGCAGTCGCTGTCCGTTCTTCGATGGTCTCTTCAACGGACGGACCGGCGGAATGTGGATGGCATCGCGGCGCAACGAAGCTGAAGCAGAGTCCGAGGCTGTACGTGTCGACCTCAAGCATATTGATGAGAAGACCTTCGTCATGGTCTTGCGCCATTTGTACGCCGATACAGGAGAAGAGCTCTTTGATGACATTGTCACCAGTACTCTCGACGAGTTCCTCGACATTGTTATCGAGGTCATGTCAGTTGCAAACGAGCTTATGCTGGACCGACTAGCACAGATATGCCAGCAGACCCTGGGCCGCTATGTCAGTGTCCGAAATATCTGCTTATTAGTTAATACAGCTGCAGAGTCAACAGTCCAGAGCTTCAAGAAAGCAGCGCTCGAATATATCTGCTTAAATCTCGAGAGCATGATGGAGCTCAGGCTCCTCGACGACTTGGACCCAGACCTGCTTCTGGAGCTTGACACTGTTGTGCAAGATAATCAGCTGGCTTTTTTGCCGTTCGCTCGCAGTGAGCGCGCTGAAGCTGATCTTTTGGAAAACCATCCAGACCTTATCAGTCAGATCGAGACGGCTCGACAGAGGAGAGTAGATTCTATGCGGTTGCGATCACGGTTGGTTGAAGACGAGGAACGTTACGCGGCTTCTGTGAAGGTGCGGTATGGTAGTTTGGATCGCCACGCATCTTCGCCGCACAACAAAAGTGCTCTGCGGACTCCGGCGGATGTATCACCACTCACCACTCCGAACCATAGTCCCGCGATCCTGGCGAACGACACAGCGGATGATCTCCCGTTCGACATGGACGCGGACATCCCAGAGCTTCTCCCAGCTCCTGCCCGTGAAGACTTGAATTCACCTGCTGCCAGGGTTGCCTTGTCCCCGGAAAACACAAGGCCGCCACCGCCGATCCGACAATCGGAGCTTGGGTTATCTCCCATAGGTGCACTGCGTGTAGGAGGGGCTGGCTCGTCGGGGTTGGAGAGTCACAGAGCAGCAGATCCCATCAGCGCTGTAACTCCCATCAGCGCTGTAACTCCCACCAGCGGGTTCAATAGTCGGGGAGCACCATGGCAGGTCCCTCTTCAGGGGTCGAGGAAAGACGGGCTCAAGGACATCATGGAGCAAGCGTCAGCCGGCCGGGTATCTCAATTGACCCAGGCAATGCGGTCAACCTCAACCACTCCAAAGACTAACGCTAAAGTCTCTCAGAAAGAGCGCAAACGGCAGCAGCACCAAATCAAGGAGCAGACAGTCAAAGTCTCAGAGACCGTCCGGGCGAGTCCTACAGCAGATGCGCCTACTTCACCGTGGCAGACTATCGCAAAGTCACCCAAGACAGAGTCCTCACCGATCATGGATGCGCGAAAAGAAACAGGCAAACAAAGTCAGGCGAAGCAGCCAATAACCATGCGGCAGCCGACGGCCGAAGCATCATCTGCGGGCCCTGTAGGCAAAGAACCGAGCGGTGGTGGCCATCCCCCTAGCCTTAGTCCTCCCTCGTCGAAGCCCGCAGCTCCGCAGATCCAGTCGATTCGCCATACGCCGGTGCGCACGAGAGGCCCCCCCGTGGATGCACGGACATCAATGGCTGAGATCCTTGCTCAGCAGCAAATCGAAAAGACGGCTGTTAAGGAGGCTGTGGCGAAACGATCACTCCAGGAAATCCAACAAGAGCAGGAGTTCCAGGAATGGTGGGATAACGAGAGCAAGCGAGTGCAGGAAGAAGAGGCGCAGGCCACCGCAGCTGCTGGTCGTCGTGGTAAAGGAGGTCGCGGACGCGGTGGACAACGTCGTGGTGGCGGACGAGGAAAAGCAACGTTGGCAGTCGAACCCAACGGACACCAGAGAAAGTCGTGGTCAGCAGAGGGTCCCCTCATAGCACAGGGATTCGCATCTGGCGGGGAGATCGAGCCTGGGCTCGCTGGGATGTCGCGAGGCAGTGCTAGCCGTGGCCGAGGGCGGGGTCAAGGAAATACACAGCATTCGCATCGAGGGGGCAAGGCATCGACCATCACAGAGTAACAGGCCGCACTAGCGGGTTGATCACAGAGGCAGCCGTGTACAAATTTCGATAGAGGCAGGATTCGTTTCCAATTGAGACAACCAACACAATCGTTCAGGATCTTTTTTGCGTACACAGTAGAAAGGTGGCCTCGCTTAGAACGGCCCTGCGTCAGAAGGATTCGACCATGCTGTTCGCGGCAAGGTCTGCAGCAGGCTGCAAGACCGAAGTACCATTCAGCTGGTATGGGCTCTCAATATTGGACCGCACAAAAGTGCCTTGCCTGGAATTCACAACTGAAAACTGAGGTTGAAGGACTCGGTAGACCCACATCATGTCTTGGGTCACTACTCCGTATTGGTGCCTATTTGAGGATCCGGCAGGCAGAAGAATGTTTGACCCGAGGGGAGATTCCCCGTCAAGCCATTGGAGGCATCAGACATCGGCGCATAGAAGACAGCCTGGTCTGTGGGTTCCCCTGCGGTGCAATGGTGTCAGGCTGATGATAGTCCCAAGGCTCGTTTACAGTATGACTCTGAGATCGAGCCTTAGATTCAGCCTAGCCGGCGCGGAATGGAGAGGGAAGAGGAGCACACACACGGGCGGATTCGGATGGTGGGCGCTAACTGTTTGAGGGGCATGGATGCTTGCACAAGCTAGCCAAGGCATGCATGCAACATGCACACAGCGTAAGAGGACGTGGGGGGAGGCGAGGTGGTGAAAGGGCGGCGAGAGAAAGCCGGGGCAACATGTCTGTTCTGGGAATATTCGTGCCGCACTATGTGTACGTTAGCAGAGTTCGCTGGCAAGTCTATGACTGTTCTTGATGGTGGCGGAGAATGTGGCCGTCAAAATGTCGAATGTGCGCGCGGCGGCGGCAGGGGAGACACAGCGGCGCGCAGCACAACAGCTGCCAGGTCAGGAGTCAGGACGATGCAGCCTATGGCACCGCTGGACAGCTCAGGATCGGGATCCGATTCGATCCACCATGTGCAAAGAACCATGCATATCAAGCGTTGGCGTGAGCAGAGCAGCTTGAGCGCACAATGGTGAAAGTCCAAGTGAGAGGAGAGTGAATGGAAAGTGAATTGAGGGGTTCGAGTGCTGAACGTGCCCGCCACACATGTGTGTGCGTGTGCGTGTGCGTGTGTCTGCTCGACCAAGCCCTCATCGTCCGAGTCAATGCAGATTCACCTGGGGCTGAACGAGCTCTGAGGACACCAGGAGAGCTCACCGGCTACAGCGGGACTAAGCCGCTTCGGTCGGCGATGGACCTTGCTGCTCTATGGTATCGGCTGATCCTTGCTAGAGCTTGGTGTTGGCGTGGTTGGCTGCAGTGGTATCCGCCATGATATCTCCGACATTTGGATGAGTCCTTGAGTCCTCAGATCCCCATCACTTTATCACGTCGTCGACTCTGTCCTTCTGCTGGCATCCTGTCTCGTACAAGGCCCCCATTTCTGCCTGAGCGGACTATCCTACCTCATCCCGTCCCATCCCATCTTATCGCCTCGCTACGTCCGTCGCCTGACCTGTGGTTGTGGCTGTTCCTCCGCATGAGCGCCAATCACATGGAGGTTCCGTCATATGCCCACGACTCGAGACGATCGTAAAGTCGCACTGCACCGGACCTCGTCCTCAACCTCAGCCCTGGACAAAGTCGCTGACCGTATTCAGCACTACCTCATCTCTTCCTAGGGCCATGATGACCTTCCCATCTACCTGAATTCTGCTCCTACCACAACGTCCAGCCTTGTACCAGAGATGTCGACGCGTTGACCGCCATCCACAAACTCGCCGACCCAGGGAATACAAGTGTGGATATCACAGCAACCAAAATATGGATGGCTACCGGATATACGCCAGTACCGAATTACCTCTCGAACGCTAAGCTAGGCTCCTGAGAAAAGTGAATAACAACGCCATTTCCGCCGCACCATGCATCAACACCCTCGACCTCCTCCCGTCAGTGCCTCCCCCGCCAACTCTGAACAAACAAATCCCACCCGCACGAACAACCCGAGAGATCGAGACGTTCAGACTCTCCGGACGACATCTCCTCTTACCCAAGGCTCCGGCTCCTCGGAGGACTTTGCATCTGCCCGTCAAGACTCACCCGCGGACAACCCCGTCCTCCAGATGCAGAGACTCAACCAGGTCATCCAGAACTTCCACACCAAGTCTGCTCTCATCATCCTGCAGTCTCGAGTCGAGCTGGCCCCGGCCTACTCCAGGCAGACCGACAACAAGAGGGTAAATCGGTGGTTCAACCTCGACATCGACGAGACGGACGAGTACAAGGACGATATCAAGAGATGGAAGACCTGTGATGTCGAATACAACCGGCCGCCGCCCCTGGTAATTGAGGTCTACCTAAGCACCGAATCTCTACATCAAGGCCAGCGGCTGGTGATTGTAGATGAAGATGGCAAGAGATGGGATGTCCTCAATACCCTGTCGTCTGCTCGAGGGGCTTCTCGATCAAACCAACGCCGAACGACCGATGCCAACGAGGTGATACTTGAGCGATGGACAATCGATCTCGGCGAAGCGACGGCTCCTATCCCCCCCGATCTAGCTACGCTCCTGCCTTTGGTCTACAAGAAAAGTATCGTCTTCTTCCGCTCTCTGTACACCTACAGTAATTTCCTGCCTGCCTGGAAGTTGTCGAGGAAGATCGGAAAGGGACGGTCTCACATGGCATTGAAGCTTGGGTATCGGCTGATCGACGGATCACAAATGGGAGGTTTATCTCGGTCCGATAACCTGGGCACGCGACTCTTCGACAGTAACTCGGACGTCTTATTTTCCTATGACTTTGGTACGACCGAGTCACCTGCCGGGCCCTTCTCGGTCAAAGTCGACTATCGTCAAAACTGCGACTTTCGGATAGACGACTCCGAGGAACTCCTGAGTTCCCGTTTTCTAGGAGCAGACGATGAGCTGTTCCGGCCGTCCCTGCCGAGTGAAAGAGCGCTACGGACCGAGATTGGGTCATTACCTGCACATCGACGTCAGACTTCGATGGAGCAGCAGGCAGAGCTAGGGCATGCGTACGGGAGTTTGACAAGCTTCCACCAAGCAGGCCTGGCTCGCGGCACAGATCCTATCTCGGCCCTCCGAGATGCTCAAGACTTTGATGCCAGCCCACCCACTACTGCAGAACCAGCTAAACCGCAGCTGTCTGCTGCGCAGAACTCGAGGAATTCACTCAGAGCGGTGGCGGCCAACCGCAGAAGCTCCTTCTCCGTTCAGCCATTCAAGACCCCTACTTTGTCAGCGTCACCTCTCGGTGTTTCTCCCCTCGCCAGTTCGCCGAGAACTCACTCTGCGAGAATACCTACCCTGGGCTCTTTGACCGAAGAAGGCATTCCCCCACCAGCAGCCCCAGTAACGCTCGCTGGGCGAAGAGCTGGGTCTCTTGCGTCAGACAATGCTGTTGCTTCGTCGTCGTCAAGCTCGCCCAAGCCTACCACGGTGAGATACAGCAGCAGCTTCAGCCACAGACGAGCCCGTCTTTCCTCCGGCGGCACCACCACTCGTACTGACGAAGATCAGACAAGTAGTGGAAGGGGAAGCGCCACGTCTTCTGCCCCACCTGGCTCGGGTTTGATGGCAGAAGCGGCTCCGGCTGGAGGAAGCTCTGGGTCAATGGGCGATGATGATGGGGAGAATATTTCGTCGTTCTTGAAAATGTTGGAATCACAGAAAGATCTTCTCACCCCTTCATCGTCAGCAGCGGCAGAAGCGCACACCAGGAGGACCACGGCCGCATTAAACCGATTCCACAGGATGCGAGATTCAAATGCTGTACTCTCAGATTCTATGTCTTCCTCGGTTATGATGCAGAGATCATCGGTGTCTTCCAGTCGACAATTGTCAGGGGTGCCGCCCATGGTGGCCGGAACCTCAATCTCCACCTCGTCTTCTCCTGGGAAACCGGTTTCTCCTCACACACCACATACACCGTTCGCTCCATCTCGACTTAGCGCTGCTTACAGTCATGACGACACTGACGAGCCACATCGTCTCGCTGTCGAAGCACCTCCATCTCCATCTGAAGCTCCGACAGAGGAGACTGCACACGCACAGTCTACAGCTAATGTACCGGCTATCGACATTCCGAACTCTCCTAGACCGTTCTTGAACTACCAGCGTTCAAGTTCTGCCCAACGGAGACCGTTAAGCTCAGATGACGATATCGGTGATCTATACGGCATGCGCAGCCATAGTATGGGAGCAGACCGACGAGGTCATCGCCGAGAGACGGCTGAGCGCGACGAACCGGTCACAGAACCACAGACCTCCGCCCCACGAACGTCGACTGGATCTCCTCGACGGTCATCCCAGGTCCATCGCCTTTCAGGTCTTGCCACTGCCTTGACAAATGATGCCGAAGCATCAGAATCTGCATCGGGTCGATCTTCAGCAAATATATACAGAAGCCGAGGAGCAAGAACGGGCGTCGGACGCGGGGCTTCTCAAGGATCGACGTCGAGCGTTAGTGGCACGGGGGCTAGTGTTGATCCCGGAAGCAGCAGTGTCAGCGTATCCTGGCGTGGAAGGAGTAGTGGCAGTCGGCCCGAGAATCGGTTCGACGATGATGATCTATTGCCTTTTGCTATGGAAAAGAGCGACTTCAACACGGCTACAAAGCCAGGAAATTCCAGTTCTCCAAGCTGACGGAGAAAGACGACAAGGAAACAATGGACGAAAACAAGCGGCAAAACAAGCCGTACGCTCGACGAATGGCATCAGTCTGTGCAACGGACAAGAATTATAGAATGCTCACACCGGGCAGTTGGCTCTCTGTATTACCGGCGTTATCAAAATAGGCAGAAATGGTTCTGGGTTTGGTTGGGTTGGATTTGTGTTGCTCATGGTTGAATATTTGATTCTGTCGGATTGTTCTTACACGACAACGAGACTGTCTTTATGAGCGTTTCAGCGCGACCCATGACTACAACACTTGCTGGCCGGGTCTGGGGTTGACGGCACTGGAGGGATCATTGCGTCGCCATCAACCGAGCTCCGTTTCTATGGAGTCTGAGGTTGGGACTGACCTGGCTGGTAAACGAGGACGCGTACTAAGAACAATCCAGGGCTGGCCAGTGGAATGTTATAGGCGTTTGTTCTGTTGCGTCGAATGGGGAAATGCATTGAGCAATAAGACGCCGAATCATGGTACTGCTATAGCTACCTATCGTATCTGGCAAGAGCACAGGTCTATAGGCCGTGGTCTATCAATACATTGGCTCCGGGCTGCAGTCAATGCGCCTTCTCGCCAGGCAAGCCAGGCAAGTCGCTATATTGTATCACATGCTTTATCAGAGAGTGATTCGGGCTGAGCGCAGTGGGTTCCCACCACAAGGCGGATAGATGCATACAGCACAAGGATGAGCATACCCGTAACATTCCTGCCACTTGACACAGAAACAAAGCCTTGTTCCGCGTCAGGTACTTACGCAACGCGATGTCAAATGTATATCATCGCCACTGTACGGGTCAATGGGACATTTCGCCGCCTCCTGTAAGCTGCTCGTACCGCCGGGTGAGGAAGATGTCGTACTCGCAGAGGAGCAGCATACAGGTCCTCTTGCCTACAGAATTAGGAGAGTGCCCGTAAACATTGAACAAGTAAACTACTATAGATGATTGTCATATAATCATATACGGAGTACACCTAGGTCTATATTTACTCTAGACTCGCACTGATGTAGATGAGGTCTATATAGCGATTACAGTGAGTATGTACATCCAGTACTCACTTACTTGTATCGGACGCGCTTATGCAAATACAGTGCCATGACCGCTAGACAGTGATATACATATATATATACTAGACTGGTGCTTGCTTCCTCCCCACTGTATTAGGTAGTCTTCGAGTAATTACCCTTTTCTCAGTATGTACCTATACAGAGTACCTATATAGAGTACGGAGTAGCGTATAGCGTAGTGTAAGCTATAGTATATATACAAAGCGACGTGATTGTATTGTACTGGGGCTGATGAGGTTATGGGTTGGCAAGGCTGCCGTTTCTCGAAACAAATGTTTTGCGAAGCAACGGAGCGTTCTGATTGGCGGAGGTTTAGCGTAAGGCTGTGCTCCTTTCCTTTTTAGTTTTTGTCGTTGCTTTTCGATAGCTCATGGAGAGGATATGCACGGACAGTCAATACACTCTACTCTACCACAGGCATCGTGTCGCTCCTTTGAGATGTAGGGTGGTTAAGTGTGAGGAAGGCAGAGTATGCCGCCACAGAGAGGCACTCCTCCGTTGGCCATAAAGCCTTACCCCAGTTCAATATTATTTTCTCGCTATATACACTCACTCACTCACTTACTTAATAGAAGTAGGTTTGACTCGACTCGCCTCAACACAACTCAGCTCAATTCAACCCAACCCAACTGGACAATTTGTTCCTTGATCGTGCTTCCACTCCTCAGGTCGGGTCCTCGTGCTTCATGCTCCTTCACGCTTCTTCACTGATCACCCCGAATTCTCGTTCTGGGTTTCCAACCTATGTGCCTCATGACCATTCGGTATCCCCTCGTCCCCAATCCTCGTGTTTGAAGATCCTTGATTTTCTCGTTCCGTATCTCGGCATCAAAGTGTAGATGTATCCGATCTGACCCAGTACGGAGGACGTTCGGTCTGAAGATCTGTCGCCGCTCTTGAGGGAACAACCAACCTAGCCACTGTCTGAGGGGGCCTGAGCTGAACCGATCGGAGCAGAGCGGCTTCCTCGCATGACTGCTCTTGTTGAAACCGCGTAGAGTGTGCGTGCGTGCGAGAGGCGCGAGAGGTGTGTTCCTCGTATGCTCTGGAGAACAGTCGTCATCACAGATCACACAGCTCGGCTCATATGCGCACACCACTGCTCATATGCTCCGGAACGGTCGTCATAAGATCAGCTGCTCATATGGCAAAGTCGTCACGTGACGCCTCTGGACGCCCTCGTTATTCACGCCACGCAGGAAATCCTCGTCTCCTCCACGTTGCGCGTCGTTTGTCATACATACCTTAAAATTCCTGCCACCAGAAGCCCGGCGTATATACAGTACAGTGTCCTTCAAATCCAAACGCCAGTGATACGCATTGCACGCGGGTAGTCTGCACACCACAACCATGTCTCATCTCATCGCTGAGGACCATAACCGTATCCATTGTTCGCGTAGCCTGTCTGTGGCGGTCTATACGCGGTATATCCGCCCGTCGGGCCGTCATTTCTGAAATCGTCCATCCTCACCGCTGGCGCGTGCCCATAACCCATGTCCGCCGCGGCGTTATCCCTCAATCGGGCCCGTGAATCATTGTAGTCGCCGATACCGTAGGGGACGGAGTCCTGAGAATCGGCGTGCCCGTGGCCGAGTGGATCGCGCTCGCTCACCGCCCGAGACTGAGACTGAGACTGAGACTCGGACAACGACCGACTATGCAGGTCGTCGAGCTTGACGTCGGCGCCACCCTTGGCCGCAGCGTCGGCCATCTTGTTGTAGCGGCCCAGCTTTGTCTGGGCATGGCGGCTCCGCACGTCCAGCACGATCAAGGCGATCTGCGCGAGCACGCCGAACAACTCAAACGCGTAGAATGCCTTGTAGGTGCGGCAGATCATCATGCCGTCGTCGCTAGCCCAGTTGGCGCGGCTGCACGTGTGGCCGAGCGTGCCGTAGATGTTCCATGTCAGCAGCCCGTAACCGACAATGTAGAGAATCAGGATCGTCACGTTGAGGATGAGCGAGAAGAGCGGCGACAGGAAGAAGCATGTGTAGAGGATTCCTGTGACGAAGAGGGAGAGCAGGGACAGTAGTGTTGACGCGAGGACCTTCGAAATCACGGGATCAGTCAGTATGCGTAAGTGTATAAATGCTAGGCACATTCTCTCAAGGAGAGACATTTGGGGGGTCCGCTTACGATGATGAACGTCCACGGCAGCTTGAAGCCGTCGTGTCGGAGCTGGACGCAGAAGTAGATCAAGATGCCGCTGACGATGGTTGCGCTGATGAAGGCGATGGTCCGGACGATGTGGAAGGCCAGTCGGGGGTAGACTTGTGGGCGGGAACGCATTTTGGAGGCCGGCATGGTGGAAGAAGGGGTCGCCCGCTGGGCAGGTAGATGAAGGAGTGTATATAGAGTACTGGGGTCGGGAGATCTGAGGCTCGCAGTGTTTCACAATGGGTGAGTTGTTTTGTATGTACGGAGTAGTACTCCGTGTACTGCAGATCTGGGAGTGCTCGACGCTGTGAAACACAGATGGTGTCAGAGTAGCTGTGCGCAATGGACGGCGCAGGCGTGAATGATTGAATGAATGAATGGGTGAATGAATGGATACAGAGAGCAGTCAGAAGAGAACGGCGAGCGAGCAGAACTGATCGAGCGTCGTAATGCCAATGGCCGACGCCGTCGCAGTCGGTCGCCAAGCTGAAGATTAAGACTGCGTGGACTGTTGCCAATGAGGCTGAGGAAACAAGGCTCAGCTCAAAATAGAATCCCGGGCTTGTGCTGCCAATCACGACGCCTGTTCGTTGTCCTTAGAGGCCAGTCGCAGGCACGAGTCAGGCCTAATTTGCGAGACCGTGTGGGGGCTTCGGGGGCTGGTGCGTGCGGGGTTTTGCACCTGTGGCGCTTCGCAGAAAGTGCTACGGTCATGTACGGTCAAAGAACTGCATATGGACCATGCTACAGTAACGAGTGCTCCGTACACAGTACTCGTGCCAGGAAGCACCCTGAATCAGGCTTCGATAGCGGTTATACAAACATGCTTGTTCGAGAATCGCGACGAAGAGACCTTTAATGAGAGTATTGGATATTTTTTTCTTTGCTTGCTTGACTTGCAAAAAGGACAGAGGTGCTATCCCAGACGCGACGGTCAGAACGGTACATAGTACTCCATACGCTGAACCAAATCCTCGTTTCGTCTCACCCCCCAGAAAGCTCCAACGGCTCTGATCGTCTCCATCGGCGCGATGCTCTTCGACCCTATCGAAGTGGGCTCTCCTTGATGATGCCGTTGCCCGGCACAAAAGCCCCTGCTCCCGCCGCATTCAGCTTGAACGCTCCACCACTCGAGCTGCCACTCGCACTGCCATTGGTCTTGGGCGGCGACATTGGCAGCGGCGTGCCTGACACTGATGAAGACACGGGCGCCATGTCCGGAGTATTCCGTCCACTCTGCACCGCACTGTTCGCTGCTCCAGTACCCATGCCATCCAGAGCCGCCAATGTGCCCCCAATACTCCGGGGTGGAGGCTTCCACCCATACTTTGTGCCTTTGCGGTAGATGTCTTCGATCATCTGCTCCGCGATACCTGCATCCTCGTATTCTTGGAACTTGCGCCAAAGACGGAGCGCCATACGCGCATCTTCGATGCTGTCGTGTCCGTCTACCTGCGTGGCCTCGTCCAAGCCGGTCTCTTCCTGGATGTATTCCTTAAACACAGCCCATGCCAAGTAGCGCAGCGAGAAACGTCGGTTCTTCCCAGGCGCCAGGTAGAGATACTGCGTGTCGACTGTTTGAGACTTGGGGACGTGGATATTTGTTTTGCGAAAGTCGGATGCCAGACCGTGGCCGACAAAGATGCAGCCGAGGTTGAGAAGAATCCAGAGTTTCTTATATGCCACCTTCAGCGGGACGAGATTGTGTTGTGAGACTTGCGTATCGAGGTCTCCTGGTCGAATGCCGGAATAGCGGGTCTTGTAATCGACAATCGGCTCGTAGATGGTTATGTAGTCGTCTATGAAGGGGACACCTTCGTCCTCACCATGCCCTCTGAGGACGCTGACGCGCGCCAGACCGGATTTGGCGGGACGGATGGTTTCTTGCGTCCCATCAGCCTTGACATTAATTTCGGCTTTCTCCAGTTCGACAAATTCCGTGTCAAGGGCTATCGGTGTCCCTTCGGCGGGATGTTCCTGTGGCCCCAGAATTTTGCAGCTATCAATAGGATATAAGCCATTGATGCTATAGTGCTGGTACAGCAGGGTGGTGTCCATCGTCCGTTTCCAGCTGTGGTCGAGTTTGCCGTGAGCGCTCTTGACCTGGTACGCAATCACGCTCGGGATCTTCCAGTTCTTGTTGAAATGCAGCGCTTCTCGTGGATCGACTGGTGACACCAAGAAATCATTGAACAAGTGCCAGTTCGGGAAAACCTTGTGATTGGGGGGAGCGTCCGGCCCAGAGCTTGAAACTTCTACATTGACCATGCTGACCAGGTGAGGCTGATGCCGCTCGCTGGTGTCAATCTCGGCCACGAACCCGACTAGTTCATAGATCATGAGGCCTGGCGACTTGTTTCGGATGTGCAAAGCCAGATCGGAGCCCTCAAAGACGTACACGTTCCTATCCTGCACGGTGAGGCCGATCTCTGATGGGAGCCACCCGGGAGTTTCCCAGAGGTTGCGCATGGCGGTGTTGCTCCCCAGCGCCGCATTGATCATCAAAACAAAAGGCAATTGCCGGATGGTCTTGCGGATGGCCAGTTGCTGATATCTGCGACATCGGCTGCACCAGCCTCGATTCTTGGCTTCCCGTTCAATGGTGCTCTTGAGAACAGATGAGAATTTGATATACCTCGTCGAGTGCTTGGAGTCCAGCTGCGGATAGACCAAGTCATGCACATACGTGCTGGCCGGCTTGGAGGTTTCGTTGTTGCAATACATGCATCGTATAGCTTCAAAGGCCTTGGTCGCAATGACCTCGTCAACCCCGTCGCTGTTCGACGCAATCATGGCGTAGTCCTGGGCCATCTGCTTTAGAAAGAATCGGTTCACTGCTTGGATGTTGGTGGACAACGGCGTGACATTAGCCGCGGACAAGTGTTCAAACAGGCTGAGATTCGCAGCTTCCCTAGAGGCTCCGAAGGCCCTGAGCAAATTTGTCGCCTGGCAGTTTTGACCGTTGGCTTTCTCCAGCATGTCGAACAGAAACCCGAATTCGCAAAGGAGACAGTTGCCAGCAACACACGATGTCGCGGCATGCTGGATCGCGACGTTGCGGAGAAGTGGGACAAATCTATACAGCTGCAACAGAGAGTTGACGAATGAGTTTGCAATGTGAGTTTCGAGGCCGGAATATGGTGTCTTATTGTAGTATCGGAAGTCAAAGTCGTCGACACCGAACCTGCTGTACTTGATCTCGACATTGCTGTACTTTAGCATTCGCTCCTCGTCCGTCTGAGCTCGTCCGTTCAGCGAGACACCAGCAAGGGCCTCTGCCGCATCAGCCAGCTTCGTTCCAGTTCCGTTGGCGGGTTGGTCCTTTGCCCTCTCGCTCAAAAACTTGGGCGCCGCGATTGAGGTGGGAACATGACCGATTCTCGTGTCTTCGACTTGATAACGAAGGAGTTTCCGTGGATTCAAGTTGCGGGCGTAGTGACCCATCTCGGCGGTTTGCATGTGAAATACTAGCGACGGCTCGATTGTCGGAGGTGGCGCTCCTACCTCGAATATCATATGGCTGGGCCAAGCTGACAACAAGGGTTCGGTGTAGTAGGGCATGCCTATTGTATTGAGTGGTGCGTCATTCCAGTCAACGTGCGGCACGTTCTGAGGAGGAGGGTCTGCAAATTCGGTTTCTTTGCTAATGTTGTTGAAGCGAACTTTGGACGGTGAACCCCAGAGATATATCCATCCATTAGTATCTATTATGGCCACAGCATCTCCGGACGAGGCAATTTCCATGCCCAGCATGAACTGTACGTTTGCTTGTTTGAGCATCACGTTGACCGGATTCATCAAATCCACCACCTGCATCTGGCCGGTCTGTGACGCCACGAAACTGGTTGTTTGTAGTTTCGGGTGCAGACGGACATATGCAGCTCCTGCATGGAACGGAATAGGCGGCAGCGAGGTCAAGGATTTCAGGTCGTAGACGTTCGCCAATGGGTCAACAATAGGCACACCCATTTGTCGGACTGAGAAACCACAAGTGACGAGAAAGTCATTGCGAGCATCCATGTCGTTGACAGCACTGGAATGTGCTTTCCACGACTTGAGCAGTCGGTAGTCCGTCAAGCTCAGGATATGCACGTTTCCGTCATCGGTGGCGGCACAAATATGCCGGCTTTTCCTCATAATGGTGTACTTTGCCTGTGCGGGATGTTCTGACACGATCTGGCCCTTGTCCAGGTCGATCACGAAGAAGGTACTGTGGCCCCCGTTGACGATGATGAGGTTGTGCGTCCCCACGCTGGCGAAGGTCATGCATCGCAGATCACTCATGTTCGGATGGGCGATATGCCATTGCGTCAAGCCTCTTCGGCTGACGGAATGGACACTGGAAGCAGAGATGGAGATGATGCCCTTCTCATGGACAAGTAGTTGCTTGACGGGACCCTCGCCCAGATGAGCCTTGACCGAGACATACCGTTGCAGATCGGCACCGTAGAAAGACGTGACCCGTCCCTAGGTAGAAAGGTAAGATGGCTACATTGTATGGGTGACGACACGGGCTTACCTGGTCATTGCCGATCCATAGGAGTTCTTGCACGTCGTCAAAGGCGATGGCACTGGCAGGAGGAGGGATCGCATGCAGACCCGAAGAGGGCACTGCTATGCGGGTGATTTCATCCCAATCCGCCTCCATGAGCGAGATCGAGGCGGCTGAAGTTGGCTTAGGGCAGATCCGGCGGACGGAGCATCGTGGGCCTGGAATTCGGATATGAGGCCCTGCGAGACGCCTTGGTTGACTGGCGGGTTGGTTTCGTCAACTCATCGTCGTCGTCGTTGCGTACCAACTGAGTATTGATAGGAAGAGGTGGTTGAGCTCAGACACAGCGCGATGAGTGGCTGATGATCCGGCGCGAAATGGTGGCGCTTTCTTTCTCCGAACCTCCTCGCCTCTCCGAACTACACGACCAGCGTCAAGAGTGTGTCACAGTCACGGTCGGATGTGCAGCAGGATGCTCAGTCTTCACACATCTTCACCACTATCGCCCCAGCTTCAGCCTGTTTGAACGTGGTCACAAGCGGTAATTCACTAATCTTCGTCTGTAAGAACCCCACCAAGCGGGCGAGCTGAGTGCTACATACGCCATCAAGTCGCGCCTGGCCGCGCTTCGCCTATTTATTTCCCCTCCAAGTGTCCGTCCAGCTTCTTAGGACATTTGTGCGCTTATCCTGCCAGTCCTTGTTCCTGGGTGACTCGCCATGTCTAGCTATGAGAGTAAGATCAGATGACAGCCGCATGGGCATCTACGTTGACAATGTGTAGCTGAACATGCTTCCGATCCACCCAATCGCTCTGGGAGCCAACCCCGAAGACCTGATCTGTCCTCGTTCCTGAGTCTCCTCTCCGAAGTCACGCCTGATCGCCCGGAAGAACGAGCTCGGGAGGGAGCAGTGCCTGTGCCGGCCGATGTGTCTGCTGTCTTTCGCTCGCTTGCGGAAGCGTTTCAGGTCATGCTGAGAATAAATGATAATGCCGACTCCGACTTGCTTGAGAGCATGATAGAGAACCTGATGGAGACCGCTGAACGTCCTCCCCGAGAGGTAAAAGGCGTGGACGAGGAATACATCGCAGCATTGGAGCGAGTGAACATTAAGAAGGTCAAGAACGATGCCGATTGCCCCATCTGCGGTAACGCATTTGTCGAGGACGCTCACCCGCTTCTGGTGCGCTTGCCATGTCATCAGAGTCACATCTTTGACCTCGAATGCATCCGACCTTGGCTCCTGGTCAATGGCACATGCCCTCTCGACCGGATCGACCTGGCTCAAAGAGAAAGAGACCGCAAGAAAAAGCACCTGGAAGAGATCAAGAAGAACGCCGCACCAGAGGATGAAGAGGAAGAATGGGACGGACTGTATGGCTGAAGCTGGTCGAACTGTGACGCTGAAGACTACCTCAGGTGTACTTCACTTCACTCCACACACTGCCACCTGTTTGTGCGAGTACAATGCCGTGTTTTTCTGTACCTCCACTGCATCAGCTTCCTTGGGAACGCCGGAGACGAACTGCATGATGAGGGACATTGAACGACATCGAGCGCCTAGCGGCGTCGTCGCTAAGCGATATGCATTTTCGAGCTGGCTCTGTCAGTCGTGGCACAAGAGGAGCAGGCTGGCCTCAGGTTATGGATTACGGCCCTACCGTACGGTCTGCGGGAAGTCTACAACTTCCGGCGGATCTGTATCTTCGCAGCAGGATTTCATAAGCATGAGTCTCATCAAGACAGGCGGTCACTTCCCTCTATAGCGACCAGCATGAACGAGTCCAGAAAGACCAGCTGACAAATGCGGATGTGCTCTCGCCAATCTGAACCCACACGTTCTATTCAAGAAAGCTTGAGTTTGCGAAGGATAGCGTCGTCCGCCAATCAGTGCAGATTCTATAGATGAAGCGGCTTTCACTTACCTCGGTTTCTATTGTCATATGGCAAACGTATTCCCGGATACTGTCTTCCTCATGTCATATGCCTGATATATTGCCGGCGGATTGCCTTGAGTGCTTACTGCTATTTAAGTGGAAAGCAAGCGTTGCAGCACTCATCTACCCTGCCTCGGAAACACCAGAGAGCTCATTAACCAAGGCATCGGCTCATCTATCGGCCCGAGCGTGAGTCTGTTGATATTCGACGCCAGAGAGCGGGTATCATTACCTCTTTGTTGGCCAATACTTCTCCTCGTTCGAAATTGATAACTGTGCGGATAGGGTATCCCTACATTGATGTGACCACAACACATTCGGTTTACAAACGTATCTGATCAGCACTTGACCGAGCTTCATGATGGCGTCCGCTCCGTCGTCAACCCGCACGTGGATCGTAGCCAACCACCCCGAGGACGTCCCAACATTTGACAGCAACGACCCCGGTGCGACTTTCAAGCTCATCGACCGACCTCTCCCAGCATTGGGAGCAGGCCAAGTGTTGGTCAAGTCGCTTTTCTTCTCGAACGATCCAGCGCAAAGGCCAGCCATCGATGCTTCCATCAAAGAAGAGAGACATTACACCGCCCCGGTCAAGCTGGGAGACCCGATGATGGCGCGCGGTCTGGCCGAAGTGGTCGAGTCCAAGGCGGACAAGCTGCCCAGGGGGACGATCGTCCAGGCCTCCCTAGGGTGGACCGAGTACGCCGTGCTGGATGCCTCCGAGTGCAGTCCGCGGCAACCGCTCCCCAACGGCCTGAGTCTGACGCATTACCTGGGCGCGTTCGGCGGGCCCGGCTTGACGGCGTATTACGGCCTCGTCACCGTCGGCGAGGCGAAGAAGGGTCAGCGCATCGTCGTGTCTGGCGCCGCGGGAGCGACTGGCAGCATGGCCGTTCAGATCGCCAAGAATGTAGGGTTCCCTGTGGCTGTTCTGTTTCTTATGCGCGCTCTGACTTGGTTGCAAAATGATACAGATCGTTGGCGCATCCGAAGTCATCGGCATCGCCGGTTCGGACGACAAATGCCGCTGGGTTGAGAGCCTCGGCGCGGACAAGTGTTTCAACTACAAGAGTGCGAGTTTCGAGCAAGACCTGACCAAGGCCACCGACGGCTTCGTGGACGTCTATTTCGATAACGTGGGAGTAAGTTTTTTTCCTTCGACCCAGACGACGACGAAAAGAATCTGCCTGAGAAAATCCCCCCAGGCGATACGGTTTGCTAACGTCCTTTTTGCCGCCCAGGGTTCGATCCTCGACTTGATGCTCTCCAGGCTCAAGCAGAATGGCGTCGTAGTCCAGTGCGGCCTTATTGCCGGGTATAATGGGATGAAGCCCACGGTGCTCAAAAGTAAGAAGAGTGTCCCTGCAATGCAATGCTGTGTATCTCCCCTTTTGCCTACGTCCACGGTAGAACCATGTCATATGTCATCCTGGGCCGGAGTTGGTTGTCAAGGGGAGTCGCCGACGAACTAACGTGGCCCAACCATGCAGATTACTTCCAAGTCATCGCCATGCGCCTGTCGATCCGGGGCTTCATCGTCGTGGACTTCGCGGACACGTTCCCTGAAACGATCAGACTGTTCACGCAAGCGCTGAAGGAAGGCAAATTGAAGATCAGCAACGAGGAGAGCGAGCAGGTCGTCGACACCAAGTTCGAGGATGTGCCAAGGACATGGCTGAAGTTGTTTGACGGAGGGAATACTGGGAAGTTGGTTACGAAGCTGGTCTGAGGGAGACACAAGGGCGAGAGAGACCTGGGCGGCAGAAGGTGTTTGAACCGAGGAGCCCAGCCAGCATGTCCGTGAACAGAGATCGAAAGACGATGCCACTCTCTGTGCAGTACAACTTGCATCAGAGTTTCACGCAATGGATGGGTTGGGCATGAAACCTATTCGGTCTGTGTCGATGTCGCGCGGTCACGGCGACTCGCGAGTGGACTATGCCGATGGGCACAACTGAACATAAATGCAATGACTGAGAGAGCACGAGTTTTCGCACCAGGTTATGACTCTCCCATTGTACGAGGCCGGCATTTCCAATCCTCGTCACCCCAGTCCTGTAGACAGATCACAGCTTGCGACACGGGCACTGTTGTTTGGGCGGAGTTGGCGACCTCGACGCCTGAGTCGCTACAGCACCTCATCGGTGTATGCACGCTTGATAGATTCCAGGCACGTATTCTTGGGAGCCATGCTCGTCTGGCTCTGTGCCGTCCTGCCTGCCCGCTCGTCCTCGCCCGCCTACGCCCGTGTTGTTTCGGCTGCCCTTTTTGATCCCCACAACAGAAAAGGTCAAAATATGCCACTCTGGAAGGATGGTACGAGGTACGCAGATACCTGTCGGAATTCGTAGGCTTGAGACTTTCGAGTGATTGGCAGGTGACTTGTTGGACGGCAAATGAACTCTAGGTCGTGTACTCCGTACCGTGCGGGAAAATAGACGTGAAGCCGTCGTTTTCACCTCACTGTTGCATGCCCGCTTCTGCGCAGCTGACTGTAGCCAATCTGACGGACTGTTGGGATCGCGCTTGGTATGAGGTAGCCGGTAGGTCGACGGTGTCAAATTGGTGATCGCATCTATTGACAGCGCTTTCATACCAGAAGTCAAATGGTGGATCGAAACCGACGTCGCATGAACTCCACTTCAACGATCAGACTTGACAACCATCTCAGGTCTCTGTGCTCGCGGCAACCCCGGCGCCAGCGGTGCTATGAGGATAGCTGATGTTGAAGTTGACGGATTTGTCGTTCTTGACGCGTCCATCACGCGTGACTTTCTGTCTGGCCTTTTGGAGCAGTGGCTGGAGCGAGTTCACCGAGGACTTTGATTTGATAGACGCAGCGTCACTGGAAGCTAAGTGCGAGAAGAGAGAGGGTCTCTTTGTGGCAGGCATTGTGTCGATCTGATCCGATCCAATCTGATGCCTGGGATATGGCCGAGGAAGGAAAGATATGACCTGAGATTGAGGGTCCGACTGTTTGTACACCCAGTGCGGTATGAGGGAACAGTGTGAGAGCTTGGTCTTGATGTAGGTATGTACTCTGGACTGACACGAACACTTATTCGTTATATGGACGTCGAACCCCGAGTTCATTCACTTGTCGATATGTGAAGAGCCGAAAGGTGACATGAGAGTGATACAGTACACATGCCGTTCTGTCTAGTGCTTATTGGACCTCGTCCGGGATGGGAAGCCGTTCAGGGCTCAGCCCGGTGTTGATAATCTTAGTCTGTGCCATGGGGCTGGATCTGGAAGTGGCAAAGCCAGGGGCATCGATGGGGATAGCGCTGTACCTTGAAGCTGGAATTCATTCGAGATCGTTGGTGCATCAGTGACTTGAGCTTGAGCTGACAGTCATTCGAGGTGGTTCGTGTGTCAGTCAGTCGGGTGTCAGTGACATGAGCTTAAGCAAGCTGACCTGAGAGGCCAATGCCGGACGGGCAAGTCGCAATTCACGAAGGAGGCGACGCAGTATTCTGATTTCTGGTTTCTGACGGAGTGCGAGATCTGGAAAAGCTGACATGGTCACATCTGGGCTTTTGCCATGTTGCTATCGTCATGACAGTTCCATCAACTACAGTCACCCAGTCATCGCTGATCAAGAGCCAACGGATATATACAGCGCTACACCATAGAGGAGCATGGTCGTCACTGAAACTTCATCTACACCTCTACGTTGGGAGCATCTCGTGCCAGCTCATTTTTGCACAGCGACTGAAGCAGCGGTCCACACCTCATGCCTCCACGACATTGACAGGCTGTCCACCCGCGGCCTCCTTGAGCCTCGGGTCGCTCACCTTCGCGATATCCCTGACAAATTCTTGTCTCCTTCTCTCCTCCAAGGCACCGGGCTTCCAATACTCATATTCAATCCATTCGCCTTCCTTCATCTGTGCCTCGACTGCCTCATGAAACCGGGCACCTAGCTCTGGTTGCAGAGGTACAACCCCGGTCTCTTCACAGTATACTTCCCATAGATCCAGCAACTCCTTGAGAATATCTGGGTGCTTATCAGCGAGATCCTCTGTCTCGCCGGGATCTTTCGACAGGTCATAGAGCTGCCATGCAGATGTGCCTTTGGGGAATGGGATGAAGTCGGCCTTCCATTGTCCTTTGCGGATTGCGGCTCGGCCACAAAGCTCCCAGCCAAAGGCCTCGCCTGGATCATGCACCAAGTCTTGCTTCCCACTCAGCCAGGGGGTCATATCTTTGCCACGCATGGGCACGACCTGTCGCCCATTCCATTCGGGGGCAGGGTGTTCGATCCCGGCGAGCGAAAGCAGCGTTGGTGCGATATCCATCACTGTTGCGAATGTCTCGGTGATCTCCCCTTCCCTCCCTTTGTGCAACTTTGGATAGCGGATGATACAGGGCACTCGGACCCCTCCCTCTGTTGTATATGCTTTGTACAGCCTGCTAGGGGCGGTGGCCGCTTGAGCCCAACGTGGACCGTACCAGACGAAACTGTCCTTGTTGCCAATGTTTTCAAGGGAGTTGTTGTAGTACTTTCCAATATGCTCCATGAGCTCGCCCGCGACCATGGGATACGCCTCGTATGCAGCTCCTTCGGCACCGTTGTCAGAAAAGAACATGATATATGTGTTGTCCAGCTCGCCGATAGATTCTAGGTAGTCGGTGACTCGACCTATGTTATAGTCTAGGCATTCGATCATTCCTGCATACGCCTCCATTGAAGTGGAGGAGGCCTTCTTGTGGAAGTCATCCATTTCGTCCCACCCGGGGACTTCGTCAGCCACAACTGGATGCGGTCTGACGTCCTCAGGTATCATTCCAAGCTCGATCAGCCTCTTCAGTCGTGCCTGACGTAGTGCCTCCGGTCCGTCTTTGTAGACACCTCGATAATGATCGATGTACTCCTTGGGCGCTTGTAAAGGCCAATGCGGGGCAGAAAAAGGATAATACGCAAAGAAGGGCTTCTTCGAGAGCTCGTCATCTTCTTTCCATTCCTTCATATACCTCAGCATCCTCTTGCCATATCCATCGCTCGAGTACCATCCCTCGGGGAGGTCCTTGACATAGTGGTCGTCCTCCATGTGCAGCGCAATGACGCTCTTTTCAAGAAACTTTGGGAAATCTGCCTCAGGTCTCCAGTCATAGTGGTTTGAGCATGCAGGCAGGAGCGCCAGACTCCGGTCAAACCCACGAGCTTGCGGACTTCGTTCCTTTGTGAGGCCTAGATGCCACTTCCCACTCATGACAGTGTGATACCCTCCCCCTTTCAGAATCTCAGGGAGTGCGGCCACACGAGCGTTCAAGTAGCCTTCATAGCCTGGCATACCTCTCTGGGGAGCCGTCGAGTATTTGCTCCCTTTGGGGAAGTTTTGTCCTGAGAAATCGGTCCATTCGATCAGATTGCCCAAGCCTGCGATGTGGTGGTCTGTACCCGTCAGGATCATTGCCCTAGTCGGGGAGCACGCCGCTGCGGCGTGGAAGCCAGTGAGTCGGATGCCATCTTTGGCAAGCTTGTCAAGGTTTGGCGTGCGAATTTCTGAACCAAAGCATCCTGCATCCGAAAATCCCATGTCATCGGCCACGATGATGAGAAAGTTGGGGCGTCGAGCTGCCATTGTGCACGTCTGAGGAGAGACAGCCCTACAAGAGCAGAAATTCGTGAAAGCAAAGATGCCAACAGTAGAAAAATCGACACGGAGGGGTGAGCATGTACTGTATCAGATGTGCTACCGTCGACATCGGCGCAATCTTACAGCGAGATGTGATCTGCAAGTCCTTTTGAGTGGGCACGTGAGAGGGCTGAGAGGGGCACACATCCCACATGCTCCGACACCGGACGGCGTGGGAGAGTTGCAGCTGACGGTGCCAGACGTGCTGCCTACACCTAGGACCCAGCACGCTGCCACGGTGCCTTTTAACTAATCACCTACTTTGTTAAGCAATTATTTCCGGGGGTTGCGGGGAGGGTCTGTTCAAAGCCCTAGGCAGCCCTAACAGCCCTGACTGGCCTCCTTGAAGTTGGAGGGCACCAGTGGCACCGAGGCACCCCAACTCAGTCCTGCTCTGAACTAAGCCAATCTAGAATTTGGGGTATTAGTCTCATGTTCGCCCTGTTGACATCAGACTCGATTCTTGGGCTCATCTGGTCTACACGTGCTCGTACCAAAGGGGAGGTTCGTCGCCGTGTGATCGGGCCTCGACAAGCTTTCGCGGCGCGAGACAAGGACCACAGTCACGAAATCAACGAAGCCGGCCCCGAAACACCACCAAATGCCCGAAACTGGCAAGCCTTGATGGCGTGATCGTGTCATACTTCCGCCGGTTCATCATCTGCAACTCTCTTGCTCGCCTATCCACCACATGCGTCTTCATTGAAGCCATAATGCTTGTCGCGTCGTAGCCGATTTCAGCCTTGCTTGACGCTGCCGCGGCTTATCCTTCTCTCTACTGGCTGGCTTACATCCCGCCCGCCTGGTAGAAGGACTCGGTGGTGGGATCTACACTGTTGATACCGGTTATAATCGATCCATCCGGACTCTGTCGCCCCGCAGTCATGGTATGAACCGTTCAATTTGACCATTTCCTGCTTCCTGTAGCTTGGACGGGTCCCCTGGCACCGAAGTCCGGTAGCTTCTCGACCGAACTTCCCTTCAAGGTGACATTGTGGTCCTTCCATGCGTAAGTCATAAAGTCTGCCATGGCCTCTTCATCCTCTGCCACTGGATATCGACTTTTGCAGCAAGGCGAGCCTTCAGAATCTCCCACAACCAGTACCGCCCAGGATATCAAGATGGGCAAAGCACTCGGCACGTTTCGAGCTTGCTACGTCGTCGCTCTCTGCTGTATCGGTTCCTTCCTCTTCGCCTACGACACTGGTATCGTTGGGGGTGTCTTGACCCTGCCGTCATTCCAAAACGATTTCCGCTATACCAAGGCTGAGAAGACTCAAGTCAACTCAAACTGCGTGTCCATTCTCCAAGGAGGTGCCTTCTTCGGCTGTTTCTTCATCTGGCCGCTGACGGCCTGGCTCGGCCGACGATGGGCGTTTGTCATTTCCTCGGTCGTCTTTTGCATTGGATGCATCTTGCAGATTGTCAACAGCCACTCGCTTGGCCTCTTCTATGCGGGCCGCGTGATCAGTGGATTAGGCACCGGCGCCGCCACGGTGCTCGTGCCCATCTTCTCTGCTGAGATGGCTCCAAAAGAGATTAGAGGCAAGCTCGGCTCTTGCTTCCAGCTGTTCTTCGCGACGGGTGTTTGCATCAGCTACTGGGTGGACTATGCCGCTCAAAAGGGCATTTCCGAGACTTCGTCTACCCAGTGGCAGGTTCCCATCGGGCTCCAGCTAGTGCCTGGAGGTTTGCTCGGACTGGGCATGGTTTTGGTCAAGGAATCGACAAGATGGCTAGCAAAGAAAGGCCGCAATGAAGAAGCCTACGCCTCCCTCCTCTGGGTCCGCGGTGGCGTCGATAGTCCAGAAATCCGAGCTGAATTCCGGGAAATCCTCGCTGGCGTCGAATTGGAGATTCGCGAATCCGAGGGCGTCACCTGGAAAGAACTACTTCTGCCATCGAACAGATACCGAATGTTCATTGCAATCACCATTCAGCTTGCACAACAGCTCACCGGCAATACCTCGCTCGCATATTACGCACCTCAGATCTTCGCCACAATTGGAGCTGGCAACAAAACGCTGTTCATCACCGGCTTTTTCGGTCTGGTCAAGATGGCTGGCGTCGCGTTATTTATCACCTTCTTCGTGGAGAGATATGGGCGCAAGATACCATTCATGGCGGGCGCGTTCGCTATGGGGAGCTTCATGCTCATGATAGCCCTCATCGTTGCTACGCACCCGCCGAGCCCCTCTGCCACGGGAATCACCTCTTCAGGAGCGGCCGGTATTGCGATGGTGTACCTGGAAGCATTTGCGTTCAACATGTCCTGGGGGCCCCTGCCCTGGCTCTACATTGGCGAGATCTTCCCCAACCGAATTAGAGAGATCGGTGTGGCGACTGGGGCCGCGAGCCAGTGGCTGTTCAACTTCGTGATGAGCCAAATTACACCCCATGCCATTGACAATATCGGATGGAGGACGTTCCTCATGTTTGCCATATTCAACTACGCAATCATTGTTTACAGCTACTTCGTGCTCAAGGAGACCACCGGTAAAAGTCTGGAAGAGATGGAAGTTGTGTTCGGCACAGTGGACCACCTGCCCTCGAAGGATGATGACGAGATCGAATCACAGGCTGGACAGGAAGAAGCTCGGGAAATTCGTGAGTCGACAAAATAGACGTGGCCTAGGTATGGAAACATGTCAGTGGATATGGATCGATGGCTTGAGAGCGTCAAGTCAAATAACAAGTAAAGTGAACAGGCCTGTCCGTCTGTGTCAATCCGTGTCCATTGTGCCATCTCAGTGACATCCGTTTAAAGCAATCAATAATCCACCGTATAGAGCCGCGACTGGATCACTACTCCGCCGTTGCGCACCCCGTAAACTCTATGCTCGTGCGGTTGCGGACTTGCAATGTTTCCATAGTTCTAAGATTCTCACATCAGAAGCAGATGCGGATGCTGAATACTGGCTGAATACTGCAAATCCGCACCCTGAGACACTGGTATCAGGTGCTCAGTGTCTTGTTTCCAGCGTCATGCTGAACATGTCCGATTCGACTCGCAACCCAGCACCGCCAAAGAGACGACGCTCATCCCTTGCCTATGATCCGGCCAGAGACACTTTCAAAGAGCTGCCGGATGCTCTAGCTGAAGACGCCATCGCAGAAGATCCTGAGGAGGAACACAAGGCTGAAGCGGCGGTCGCTGCAAGTCCGACGACAGGGAAAGAAACAAAGGAACCCCCCCGAAAGCGGGGACGCTCAGAGTCAGGAGACGGCGAGGTGAAGGACAGTTTTCCGGAAGAGAAGAACACACGATCAAAGAGATCACCGCCAGACTCGGAGCAAATCATGTCAGAACAACCTCGAAAGCGAAAAAGGTCACAGTCGTTAGACGGCGAGGAGAAAGATTCTGGGACAAGGAAAGATGAATTATCGGAAGAATCCCGTGCTCCTACCTCCCCTCTGAGAGGCACGTCCAAGCCAGCTACGAATGCAGATCAGGGAGAAAAGACCAAGCCCCGAACGCCAGCGGACCTTCCCCGAATCCCCCGTAAAACGAGAGAAGACGAGGCCTCTACATCACGTCCTGCCTCCGACGCCTATAGCCGACGACCTGAGGCAGGGGAACGGCGAAGACAAGACCGAAGAGACGCGCCCTCCCATAGACGCTCAAGATCGCCTCCTTCACGGCGGTCTCCGGCTGAGACATACCGACGTCGCTCCCCACCTCGAGAACGCCGCAGGTCGCCCTCCCCCATCCGTGTCTCTCCTCCCCCTGAAGTCATTCGTCCCGGAGGAGCACGAGGTCGCGGTCGGAATGTTTTAGCCGAACAACAGCGTCTTGCTGCCGAAAGAGAGCAAAAGCAAGCTGCACTACTCGCTCAGACGAACCGCGGTGTTCAAGAAGTCTCGAATCAGTGGTACAATCAGAGGCCTGAGTGGGTCAAAGAGAAAGGCCGTGACTGGCGGAAAAATGAGTCTCAGATCAAAGGCCTGCGCAGCTTCAACAATTGGATCAAGTCATGCCTCATCCATAAATTCAGTCCAGAGGAGAAAGAGGAAGAAGAGGAGGCCGGTTGGGGCGAAGAAGCCAAGGAACCTGCAGAGCAAAAGCCACTCCTGGTGCTGGACATCGGGTGTGGGAAAGGAGGTGACCTGGGCAAGTGGCAGTTGGCTCCTCAAAAAGTCGGGTTGTACGTGGGCCTTGACCCTGCTGAAACGAGCATCAAACAGGCGCGTGACCGGTATGACCAAATGCGACGAGGCCGGCGGCCGATCTTTGATGGACGCTTCTTTGCACAGGACTGTTTTGGTGCATGGATCGGCGACGTTGGCATTGTTCGTGAAGTCGGCATCGATCCGAATGCAGGCAACGGGCAACCGAGCCGTTGGGGCGGTGGCGGGTTTGACATTGTGGCTTGCATGTTTGCGATGCACTACTCCTTCGAATCCGAGGAAAAGGTGCGAACAATGCTCCGCAATGTTGCCGGAAGCTTAAAGAAAGGCGGTCGATTCATTGGTGTCGTACCCAACAGCGATGTCTGCACCGAGAATATTCAGAAGTGGTTCAAGAACAAGGCAGCCAACAAGCTGGAAGCAAACGGAGGCGTGGAAGGCGCTTCTGAGGAGAAAGAAGATGGCGAAGCCGACGAGGAGGGCCCGTCATGGGGAAACTCCATCTACAAGGTGCGGTTTCCGATTGATCCTGTACGGCCCCTGCAGCCAGACGGTTCCTTTCGACCTCCATTCTCCTGGAAATACACCTACTGGATGGCCGAAGCCGTGGACGTGCCTGAATTTGTGGTGCCCTGGGAAGCCTTCCGCGCAATTGCCGAGCAGTACAATCTGGAGCAAAGATACAGAAAGCCATTCCTGGATATCTGGAATCAGGAGCAAGGGAACCGCGAAATGATGCAGTTGGCGGTGCGCATGGGTGTCGTGAGGTATGAAGGCGGAGACATACAGCTGACACAGGAGGAGAGGGAAGCTGTGGCATTCTACCATGCTTTCTGCTTCGTTAAGGTGTAGACGAGCAGCATTGGTGGAGGGAGATACCATGCACGCCGGCAGAGGCACGCCTTCGTGATGACCCGTGTTGACTGTATGAGCCGATCGCCGTGCCTGTCGCGAACGGGGCTAGCGATCTAGCACTACGACAACAAGTGAAATGGGTCTCCGTCAGTAGCTAAATGCCTCATTATCCCAAGCTTAAGACGACGCAGCACTTCTGTGGTGTTGCCGTTCCCGTAGGTATCAATTGATTTCTCGCGAGGATCTCCTGGTCAGCTGCTCGCGTGGGACTGAAGATGTGACTCTTTCGGAGGACATGATGAATTCAGAGGCGTCTGGGGAGAGACCTGACTATGGGTATAGTTACTGGTACGGAGGCCTACCTAAACTACACGGTATCTTACCAAGGGGGTTACAGTCTATAACAGCCCTGGGAGCCTCTTGGCGCCGTCTGGCCAACCGTCGGCTAACCTTCCCAGTCACAAAGTGCCAATTAAACCAACTTCATCTCGACTTGACCACAACATCACCGCATCCTCAAGCCATGTTCAAATCAGCATTTGTAGCCTTTACACAGTCGAGATTGTAATAGAATCTCCGGAGAGTTCTTTACATCTCCTCATCTCCTGTTGACTCGTACGATCTTGAGCTAACTTCGCCTTGATGGTCAATTCTGATGGTCTTCTCATTTACTATGCCCCTCTAGCTACTCTGTACATCTCAACTCGCTCCAAGCCGAACCTGATGACAATGGCATCCTTCGAAAGACCACATCGTACACTTCAAGTCTTATCTCAGAGCCTAGGCGCCAGCCTGGGACACTCAGTAATTGATCGTGCTTTGGTCTTTTGATGGTCATCCACCCATGCCATTCCTCGCGTGAGTCAACTAATTACTTGAACTAGCTAACCCAGCAGAACATCTCAGATAATATAGGACCCAGCCCGTCCCTGTGACTGTAACGCTTCCCTATATGGGCTTGGGCCTTTTTAGACGGAGATGGAGCTATTGACACCCTATGCGTTTCGCATACCTTGCTCAGGGGCTCCTTCACCCACGGTCACGACTAGTCTCTTCATCACCTGCACTGCGCCATACATTTATGCATGCCCTCAGGCCACGAGGGGACAAAGAAAATATTACCTCTCTGAGACCAGCCAATTACAGCACTCGTGTCTACCGTGGAAGGGTGAGTTGGGGCACGTCTGCTCCTTGCTCTCTTTGACCTTGCGCTCGAATCCCTATTCTCGAGGGTAACCAAGCCCGTGGCTGAGTACTGCACCCCTGGAGGAACCCGTGATGCACTGGTATGTATACCTCATGCTTCCGAGGGCTACTGTGAGTATAAAGTCGTCTTGGACTCTCCTTGACCCGTCCCATTTCCCAGCAGCAATCGACCGGGAAACAACTTAGCCTAGTCATACCAGACATGCTATCATTCGTTCCTTCGCATCATGGCTACCGACAAAGAGCTCTTCCGAGTGCTCGGCATTCAGAATCTCCTCTTACAGTCTACTTGCATTGGCTATGGCACACGCAGTCCAACATGTGGAGTTTCTGGTGCCGAAATATTCTCGGAACGCTCCGGTCGCCAGTCTCATGGCCGTTTTCAATGCTTTGAAGATCGTAGAGAACATTCCCACGAGCAGGAAAGGGAAGCTGAAAGACGCCACGCATTTCGCTCTATTGCCCGCGGACTCGCCAATATCAGGCCAACCGTAAAGCTCAGGAACGGTATGATCTGTTGACAGCGTACATGGCAGAACGGCGCCAAAAGAGAAGAGGACGACTCGAACACGTCGAACCACGAAGAACATCCACTACTGCTCCTCATCGCACCATGGCTCGGCGTCGTGCAGGATCGGGATCGCTTCCCTCTTCTCAGTCTTTCCCTGGGAGCCTCTCCGACTTTTTGGACAAGGATCTGCTTGAAGAGCTGTCCTGTCGCCTCCAATCACAGGCTCAGGAGATGTGCGAGCCGATCGAAGAAATCGCCCATGCCCTCAGGAGTGGTAGACGAAGAATTGTATATGCGCCAGAGGAGGACGCATCTGACACCGCATCCGAGTCCGAATCAGATTTTGATTCGAACAGCGACTCTCAGTCTGATGCTAATGCGGACGACTATGCCGATGAGGAAACTGACGATAATTTCAACAGTCTCGATGATATTGGTACTGAAGAATTTCTCCCATTTGATGAACTCATGGAGCGACTTCGAATCCACTCTTCAAGCCATCACTGTCGCCCTACACGTCACACTCTAATTGATCGATCGTCACAAGAGACCAGGAGAAGACAGCAACGTCAGGCCTCTCCATCTCCATCTCCATCTCCCCACCCTCCCAGCTCCGCCAGACCGCCGTCGAGGTCGTCATATTGCTCGTCGAGGAATGTTCATATGCCTTCAACCATCTCCTTATCACCTCGAACAAGGACAACTTCCGCTACCTCCTCGGCTTCATCTCGAGCTGAGATACTTCCAGGTCCAGGTCCCTCCGCGCCATCTTCTCAAACTAGGACAACTCCCTTTCTCGACTCCTCTTTCTCTGGACCCGTACGCAGAAGCACTCGCACGCCTTCGACATCTTCCTCTTCATCCTCGACCCAGTCTAGGTGTGGTCGCATTGACACACAACTTCCAACTCACTCTTCGAGTGCTTCCCCCTCGAATACCGGCGAGTCCGAATGTGGAATCTGTCTCTCCGAGCTGCCACAAGGTGATGAGGGCTTATGGCGGTGTACCACGTGCCGCAACGCCACCCACACAGACTGCATAGATGCTCGGATCGCCAGCTCTGAAGGACCGCATCATCTATCCACTTACGGGACCACAGCACAGCACAGCACGGCGTCTCGCCTACTCCGCTTGGCAGATCACAATTCTATCAAAGCGTCGTCCAAAAGTCAAGCGCAGGTCGCACTTCTATCAAAGTGCCGTTCAGAAATGGAGCTTGGCAGATATCGGCAGACAGGTCATGGTAATCAGCCCAAATCTGGCCAGATTAAACCAGATCCGACCAGATCTAACCAAGATTGGACGTCGCAGTTTGAGGAAAGCGATATACCCCCGCTTGGCAAACATCGGCAAAAATCAGCAAGGCTGTGGGTGCTGGTGATGTGGAGAACGGTGTCAGGTGTATCTATTGTCGCTCTCAGGTTGCGACATGAGGATTTACCCCGCTCATGTGGGTATTGACAGTGCCCTCGGGCTCAATATCACGAGGAAGGAACCTACGGCAGAGATTAGTGTATAGAGGCTTAAGCGCAGGTTCTGCATAGCGAGGGCATAGTTCCGCTCTAATGACAGTTATGATAGGGTTTGTATGTACTCTGTATGTACGCGGGTTAGTCATGACTCTCGCGCAGTAACTTTCGCGCAATACAAATGTACCAGGACTATACCACAATTGTATTGTGAAACCATATGAAGCATCCTACGAGAGAATGTTGAGATTGGACATCAGATACTCGATGTAGGAACCTTGAAACCAGAAAATTACTTCCACCTCCGTCGGAGGATGTCGAAGTTACACTGTACATCTGCCTAGTGGTTACAGTACATAGCTGCAGTGCTCCACCATTGGAGTGAGTATCCAGACCCTTAACCTCCCCGACTACCTACCTTGCTACGGTACAAAACCACCACTGAATCCACTCCACGACCACAACAAGAGAACAGTCCCATCTGGGGAAGCCTTAGCCAAGTCGAACGGCTTCTGCATCTGACGGCGTGGCCACGAACAATGCCAGTCCCCGTCTCCTTCCTGTCTCAAGCATCCTTTGCAGCTACACTCGTGGCGTCAACCATTGGCACATTCATCGCCCTCTCACCACCCGATGCTGCTGCTGTAGACCAGAAACCCTCACCAGCAGCAGCAGCAGCAGCAGCCGAAGATTCGCTCTCCTCGCTAGGTCTAACGAGCAGTTTATTCGGAAAGCTAGCCATGGCCCCTCTATTCCTACTATCCCTGCACACTGCACTCCTCGCGCTGTACTATCCTGACATGCCGGCCTTTCTTCAAGGGTGGGGGAGGAGGAGGAGGGGGAATGATGGCCCTAACACCAAACTCTTAAGCTGGTCAAGTCCAACAATTATTCCGCTCGCGATGATCCTGGTGCTCGGAATCCCGCTGCGGCTGGTCCCCTACGCGACCCTGGGGCGGAACTTCACCTTCTTCCTCAGCGCGCCGGACCGGCTGATCACCACGGGCGTGTATGCCTACGTCCAGCATCCCAGCTACGTGGGACTCGTGACGCTCGTGCTGGGGAATGCTCTGCTCTTGGGCCGAACGGACGGGGTCATGAGTTGTTGGATTCCACCTGGACGGCACGACAGCTTAAGTGGGTTGGCAAAGTGGGTGTTCGGGCCCGCGGGTCTCTCAGTCCTACTCTTCGCTGTTTGGACGAGGGTGCTGGAGGAGGAAATCATGCTGGAACGGGAGTTTGGGAGGGAGTGGAAATCTTGGCATGATCGCACGGCTCGGTTTATTCCAGGAGTCTTTTGAGCCATGGCGGGGGGGTGTGGTGTGTAGAGAATGGCGTGGAGGCTACTGTAGCTGGCTGGTCCGTGAAAGCTGCTTCATTTATGAACAACTCTTTGGAGTGTACATGCAGCGCCATCAGTGGGGACGGAGAAGTGTCCAAAGGATGTCAATGCAGAACTAGAGTGGAAACTATGTGAAGATGAGCGTAATTACATGCAGCAAGGTGATTGTGTGAAGGGACCGCCGCCGTCCATCACTCGGTTCCAACAACGCTATCCAATACCTTACAACGCTATTCAACGACATCATACTTCGTCGGGAGTGCCACTGCGTGTTCAGTAAGAACCGGGAACGAAGCAGCCTCAAGCAATATCCCGCGGAGCTTGTCGCCGTGCAAAGCCTTACGCATGCCACGCAGGCCACGCAGGCAAGGCAGGCGACACGCCCTTTTGAGATCAAGAGGCACTACTCTCTTACATACCTACTGATCGTGAAGCTGCGGACTCAAGGTTCAGCTTTCTGATTCTGATTCTATTCTGCGATAGTTACACGATGCAATCTAACTAGACATTAACTCTTAAGGAGTGACGTTGGGTAAGTCATACTGCATTAGAACATCAACCATCCATAGGCATTAAGGATGGTACTGTTACCCATTTCAAAGTGCGTTGCCATGCCCGAGGCATGCAAATTCGTTAATGTCAGATCCCCTCCCTGGTTCCACATCCTCACATGCTGGTGACGTGCAATCTTCTGTCTCTCTCTGGCCATCATCTGCCAGATACATCATATGTCTTGGGTTGACCGGAACTGTCTAATGGTTCCAATCGTTCCAGCCTGCGCTCTGGGTTGGGCGAGGACCCTTGCCAGACCAAGACCAGTCACCCCAGACGCCGGTACCGGTGGGGTAAGCACTGGTCACGGTCGTGGCCTGGACATCAGTCTCGGTGACGTAGACGGTGGTGGCAGGCAGTGTCACGGTAGAAGGAGGCAGTGTCTTGGTGATGGTGCTGGCGGGCTGGGTCACATAGACAGTGGTGGCGGACTGAGTCACATACACGGTACTGGCGGGCTGTGTGTAGGTGCTCGTGGTCGTGACAGGAGTGCAAGTGCTCGACGAGGACCAGTCATGCCAGCCTTGAGAAGGGGCAGGAGCTGGGGCCGATGGATGCCAGTCGTTCCAGCCCTGGGAAGGAGCCGGAGCAGCGGGGGAACTTGGGTGCCAATCGTTCCAGCCCTGAGAGGAAGAAGGAGAAGGTGTGACATAGGTTGAAGAGCTGGTCCAGTCAACCCATTTGCTGGTTGTGCTGGAGCTGCTGGACGTCCAGTCGTGCCATCCTGTTGTGGAAGAAGAGTATGGAGTGGTGGTCGAGCTGCTTGTCCAGTCCTGCCACTTGCTGGTAGTGGTAGTGGTCGTGTAAGGAGTGGTGGTTGAGCTGCTGGTCCAGTCTTGCCATTTGCTGGTGGTAGACGCGGATGGAGTGGTGGTCGAGCTGCTGGTCCAATCCTGCCACTTGCTGGTGGTAGTCGTGTAAGGAGTGGTGGTCGAGCTGCTGGTCCAATC